CTGAACATTAAACGTCCCGGCATATATTCGATTCAACTATAAAGTTCCTTGATAGCAGGCCTATGGATATATCATGCGCAAATATAACTCCCGTAATTAAATAGGTTTTAAGGTAAATATGTTCTGTATACCAACAAATCGGTAAAACCTGAAAAATTCAATTAAGATCTTGAACAGCTCATTTAAATATGATCAATTATTAACTCCTAAAATGAAACCGATAAAAAAAAAAAAAAAAAAAAAACAGTTTTCGCTAATTCACGGAAATTTTACTACAGAAATACTTTAACTGGTCAGTCAATTTAAGTTATTTAAATGTCTGTTAATTGACGGGGAAATTTTTTTCACATTTGAATTTTGAATTCATAAGTTTGTTAGCTGATGAGAAGCAGTACGGTACATCTTTAACCAGAGAAGAATCGATTTAAATTTACCGGTTAATTGAAGGATAGCAAAAATTGATAATAAATGTTCCTGTTACAAAGAAGCTGTAGGCATGATATGGAATCCAGTAAAAATAAAACAAAACGGATGTGTTAAATTAAAATACAGGCCTATCCATTAAACTTGCCAAGATCGTTACTACTTATGCATACAACAGTTAGCATACTACTAGACTATGCGTCGCGTAATTTATTAGGCATAGGCCTACTGTATGTATGGACCAAATATTTTGCAAATGGATGCTTAATTTTTGATATTTGTTTCATCGATATGATGAAAAATAAACAGCAAAAACACAATATCGAGCGACTCCCGAATTAAATTTAAATGTTATAGAAATCGGACAAAATGTACCGTAAATCATCTGTACCCAAAAAAAGATCGAAGTCTCTACGGATAAGGTCACACTTAATCTCCAGAGAAATGGTGTAATGTCCAACCAAATTAAGGACAGTCAATAATAATGTTTTCCTATATCCGATCTACGAAGTAAACACAATTTTCATTCAAACTCATAAAATTCCATAATAATAAACGTTTATGATGTTCCAGACTTTTTTTTACGAATGCGATAAAAAAAAAAGTTCTTGAATTTAGCCCGTGGTATTCTGAAACTCTATTCCCTGACGATGGTGACCGAGGTCTCATAATCTGGAACAGTTAATTCAAGATTACGCGTATAGTTCTGATCAACAGTTCGACTGTCTGCATTACGACGATAAAAACGGATCGAAGTGAAATCGAAACCTTAACACTGACAATATTACATCTAAATAAAATATGAAACAAAAGTAAAGTCTTAGTCTACATTTCTTTTGAAATGATAATTAACTGTATCGAATGTTTATTGCCAAATGCGTTGCGCTTACCGGAGGATCATCTTTATTTAAATTGGTGCTCTATTTCAAAATATAACGGTTCATTTTTTTTTGCATAAGCTATAAAAGTTTGATTTGCACCTAACACAATAACGTCAAAACACATCACATCTTGTTTATCGTGTACATGGTCGTCCTATTTTGACGTCAACACATTGGGACAGATACAAAGTGAAGTTTATTTTATGTTCGTCTAATTTGAGCAGGTTCTTCAATCTATGCAATCTAATTTGATGCTAAATTTGATATTTTTTTTTGTGTTAAACCTTTTATTTAGTCATCTCTAAATGTCATTGTTATAAATCATTTCGACGACATGTTATTCGTGTAACTAGTGTGCCCGGGCCATATGCAAACCTACCCCTAAAATATAATTAGTCATTTCTAAATGTCATTCTTATAAATCCTTTCGATGACATGATATTCGTTTAGCTAGTGTATCTGAGCCATAATACAAACCTACTCCAAAAAATACAAGATATCACAATTTTATATTTGCCTTAATATTTCTTCGTCATTCAAACTTCCTGTGAGATGTAGGTTGGTAATAAATTACATAGGGCATTATTAGAATGGGTGAATATCTTATTCAAAATGACTTGAATGGGAAAGACAATGGAATATCTATTTGATTTTTATATGCACATAATAGGGCTATAGCAAGAAAACACAGTGGAATATCTCGTAAAATGTATCTCAGTATTCTATGCTGTCAACGTGGTCGAGTTCCTGTTCCTTTATACTATAAACGACGCGCACATAAAACATTATATTAAAGAAGGTTAACGAATATTGTTCAATAGAAAAAAATATATCGCATTAATAGATGACATGAAATTATAGATGGAATGTGCTGAAAGGTATGTTTGGCAATTGAATATTCGTGATTTGTTAAAGTATCATTACTTTATGTTCTTTTACAACGATTGCAAATATGAATTTTTGTTAATACAAACGTTTATAAAAGATTTTGAATGGAAAATAAAAGTGGTTTTGAACCACATTAAATTATATATATATATATATATATATATACTGTATATATATATATATATATATATATATATAAATCATTATTTAAATATAAACCGACTTGCAGTAATGCTGAAACTATTTAGACGGTTAAATCTATTAAATCATGATTTATTTATATAAAGTATCTTTTCTCGTCTTTGTCTCGTCAAATTCTTATAAGAAGAGGGTGTATTGATCTCTGTTATTTGCCATGCATCAAGGACTAGTGTTGTTCGCCTATGCATGAGTGTGAAGAATTTGATGCTTTAATCGGATTTGAATTCCCAACAAAGCTTGNTCAATTTGAGACCACTTTTTCCAAAGAACCACATAACTATCTCCCATCTTTTAACGCCAACTCTCCAAATTTGAGACTGAACCCAAGACCACCCCAAATTTTCAGGTCCCAAAGGTGGTCCCAGATTGGATGGCGAACTGTATATATTTTTTAATTTATTTATTTTTTGTTAACATGTTTGAATTCAGAGATTTAAAACCCAATTAGAATGCAATGCATAAGGATATTGTTGCAAATGATATGAAGAAAAAACAAGAAGTAGAAGTATCACACCTCATTATTCTTTATCTCCACCAATTTCAGATCGACAGAATATATATATATATATATATATATATATATATATATATATTGTATATGTATACAATATTCAAATTAACACACAATAAACAGATAAATAATAACAACGCTTAAATAGGAAATTATAATGTACAGTACATTATTATAACATATCTCACTCGGATATATTTTTTCACACAACCGATAAAATTTTTTTGTTGAAGGGCTATGATTGGTATGTATATAACATTAATTTTCACTAAATGCGAGCACTATTTCTATCATTAGTCTAAAACAAACTAAGCAGGATGTTCTAATTAGGAGGTTGATAATGAATGTAGGAACATGGATTCGGGTCACCAAACAATGTAAATTATACTTTAAAATATATTACACTTTAATATATATATATACTAAAAACACCACATACTGCCTCAGTATGACCATTCATTCATTTATTTGGCAAAAACACAAATGATTGAAGAAATATTACACCAAGAAAGGCATTAGGCAATTTAGCATTATGTAAAGTATAGTTGTACCAAAACATTATCTAATATATATACATCATTATAGTCTAATGAAGGGACGTATTTAATAAACGTTGTGACCGAAAAAGCAATTCCTTTGTTAAAATGGATGTCATTACTCATACAAAACTGTTATTGTTGTCCATTAGGGTATATCTGGGGTAGTCAAGGACAGCTATACAGTATCGTATAATGATAATTGAAGGAAAAAACACTGTAACGACAGTGCAGCGATGTTATGGAAACAGGGCCTTACAACCATACACAATGGACAACCCTGGGAAAAATTAATTGATGATGCTTCAGCATAAACCAAATGCATTCAAGACTAAAAAGTATCATACTACGAGATACTTATTTATACTCCTCGGTTGATATGAGGGAGCTTTCGATTTGTGCGACGACACGATTCTAGAACGGAATCACTCATGCGTGACCATCCTACCTGGCGTCCTACGTTCTCTGCACACGTAGATTTGGCCAAATTGTGTTCCAGAATCTACTCGACGAGGTGACCTTAACGTTCTAGCATGCGCAAATGACGTTTAGTGACGTCATTACGTCCTACCGTCGTCGTACAATTGAAAGCTCACTAATGATGCAAATTGGACACCAATTGGTTGGTCATCTTGAGCAGTAGACATGCACACAAATGTACAGGGCACCTTAACCCAGATCCTTATATTTTGTGTTGTTTTGAGATGCTTCTTGCTCATGGTATGTGTGTAGTAGGACCAAGTCTTCTTGGATAAGGACTATAAACCATAGCCCCAGTGTAATCCAGTACCTGTTGTGGATTTGACCCCTTGGAGTGGGAGTGGAAGGTGATGGGAATGAGTTAATCCAAGCACTATGTAACCATACAAAAAAAAGGCAATATATAAATACATTTAACAGTTTGAGAATCGAGTCCATCACATTAAATTTAAGAGCCAACTTCTGCGCTTCCACAAATTAGGATATGTAATATAAATACTAAAATGGCAGCACAGTGCATAGTAATATATCAACTTTCAAGGCATGAACCATTTCAATTTCAATTTATATTGCTATATTTTTTTTAATTGTTTAAATTTTATTTATTTACTATTATTTTTTATTTATTCTTTTTATTTATTTAATTTAATTTAATTTATTATTTGCTTATATGTATACATATACATTGTGTATATTTATTTATATTTCTTCTTATTTTTTAAAGGTCGAACATAAGAAATGTTCTTTCTTCTTGTTTTGACCTCTAATTATTGTCTTTTTTTATTTCATATTATTGTAAATTTCTATAATACATTCAAATAAACTGTGCAGTTTGCGCAATGCAACTGATATCATTTTTTTGAAAAAGTTACAAATATTATCCAATGTTTCTACCATATGTACAAAAGATTTGGTTAATTTGGGACCTTAAGTCAACAGCCATCTTACCAAAGCAACATGTCTTAGACTGCTACCTTTAATGAGGTTATCACTTTTTGGACGACAGAGACCGCGTCAACCAGTCAGCAAATATGTCGTGGATTGCTACCTATTATTCTTGGATTATTATCCTTAAGCCGACAGGCAATATCAAAGGAGACAACAACATGTCTTTGATTTCTAGCCTTACTAGGATCATCACCCTTATATCAAATCGACAGATACGATGTGAAAGCAGTTTGTAACATGTCTCTATCTTCACTTGGAGTCATAAACTTCAGGCCAACAGACACCATATATGAAAGCAGTCACTGATCTTCGATCGCTACACTTAGGTTGTCATCATTGCAAATTTCAATATAATGAAGAATATGTTGGAATCTTTGATTTTATTATAGGCACACTTTCCTGTAAAGAAAAAAAAATATGGAAAAAATTACAAAATCCAACAGATGGAAACATACACTGTATAAAGTTTATATAATTAGTTTTATACTGAATGAAAATATGCATTTCAAATGGCAATCAAAATGCAAACAAAGGTTTTAAAAAGTTCAGTTATTAAATTTAAATGGAACAAGGTCAAAATCATTGTATAGAATTTTTACAATCAGTTACAATGCTTACATCAATTAATGAGAGATTCAACCACATTTTCCTTTTTTAATCATTTATTTTGACATAATAATAATAATAACAATAATAATAATAATAATAAAAATAATAATAAAATTAAAAATATTTATATAGTACATTTTCAGATTTACATTTGTTCAATGTGCTGTACAAAAAAATAAATAAAAAACAACATTAAAATATGCAACACTATACAAATCTATTCAAGCAGGCCTATGGAATTTGTTAAAAATGTTATCTAATTAAAAACTACAATATTAAAAGCAAACATCATGGATATGAAAATTCTCAACTCAGTCATAAAAATATTATGTATTCACTAAAATAAAAATCATAAAAATACAAGCATTACAACAAGTTAACATAACAAGACAGAGGGCAGCGAGTTATGCTGGGATGCTTGATTAATAAGGGTCTCAGTTTGGCGCAGTGCAAATGGTTTGGCAACTTTGAGGTCTAGGTTTCAATCCCTTGCTGTGCATTTCGCTTGTGTCTTTGAGCAAGGCTTTATAAATGGGTACCTGGTGAAGGTTACCTGCTCCTGCTCTCAATACCAGTAGCAACACTTAAAGAATGTGGACTCAATGACCAGGGAAAAACAAAGTGCTTTTTAACATAAAGGAATAGGCACTATATAAATATACAAACTAACTAACTAAATACACAAAAAAAATATCATAATTTTCTCGCTTGTCATTCATTTTGTTTATTTATTATTTATTCTGCCTTCAATGTGAAAACATTTTCAGTGACACAGCACAAGAAAAGAAATGTGGAATGGATTGCCAGACTCAGTTACTAGCTGTTCTTATTATTCATTTAAGGTCTCCTGTAAAAATTAATTTCTACAGTTCACTTAGATGCTTTTGTTTATGATGATTTTATGGTAATTTGTCGTTAAGTGGGTATTGTTGAGGGTTCTTCTCGGCAGGACCAACGTTTACGAAGTTTATTCACTTTCTGTTGGTCTCGCTACTTGGTTTTCCCCATAATAGTTAATACAGTACTGTTGAATTGTATGTTTGAACCAAGTTAAATAAATTAAAGTTGAAGTTGAAATAAAAATCAGAAAAAAAGTACCAAAGTTAAACAAAACGATACATAAATATAAACATAGAGAAACATAAACTTAAATGTAAACAGAAAAAAAATGTTCTTCTAGATGAAGGCAAGACAACAGTGGGTGGTCAGAAAGACCTTATTAATTTTATGTTTTGATTTTAAGAATGTCATCCTGGGGCATTTTTTTCTAAATGTTTTCTTTTTATCAATTGTGGTGTTTTTGATAAGTTTATTGAATAAAAGTGATTTTAAATAATAAATATAAAATATTACAGCAGCACCAAACTTACAAAATTTCAATGGTATTAATTAGATACGTTTTCGTTGTATGGTGAAGCAAAAGGAGCTGTGGGCCAAATGAGCATCCTTTCCTTTTCTCTGTATTCCCACTTAATGTAAATAACCTGGCTAATGAAACGCTAGTCAATATCATTAATTTAATAATGATACTGTAAAATCAAACGCTCCCTTTCTTCCTGCCAAATTATACAAATCTTCTATTCCTAAACCAACATAACGGTATTAAATTAAAAAAAAACCTGGCATCTCCATTGAAATATAATTTATTGAATAACAAGTACCAAACCAGATCCATCTTGATTATCTATTTATTATGCACAATTAATAACGGTAGTTATGAATTATTTAATAGATCGGAAAGTTAAAACGAGTTAAATGTTTATTTAGTTGATTTAATGATTGTATCAATATAAACTCATTGTGGATGATATAACTTACATTTCCACAAGCATTCTCAATGCAGTTTAATGCTGTAAGTACTTTCTCTCTCCATGCCTTATTCATGGCTTGTTTAGAAAGCTGGAAAGAAATTCAAAATGGTATTATATTAACAGACAGATGAATAACATAGATTCACAAGCAAGAAGATCAGTGACTTCAATATTTTGACCTAATTTTCATGTATTAATATTCTACTGCAACATAAAAACAATAATAATGGTGATAATGACTGACGATTCCAGAACCCAGCACATGAATCTTTTGAGATGAGTAGGGGTTATCCCGGTGTACTTGATCATTCGGTCCCTGTTGTGAACATACGAGTAGCTGGCACAGGTTTACCGGTTAGCTCAAACGCGAAAAGTCCATCAGGGTAGAAGAAAGTTACTGTACAAGCCAACCTATGCTTCGAGCGCTTTAAGAATTTGGTGTAAAGCGCTATATAAATCCAACTACTATTGCTGTTATGATAATGATAATAGTAGTGATAATAATTGTAATTAATTGTAATGATGATGATCATGGTGATGATCATAATTATGATGATGGTCAATGAAAATGATGATGATGATGATGATGAAGATGACAATAATAATAATAATTAATAACATATTATGTACACACCAGTGTTAGCAAAGACTTGAGATGGGGAATCATGCCATCTCCAACTACGTTACTAAGCTGTACTAAAGCATTTAAAGCGCCCTCGAACACACAGTCATGTGAGGATGCCTGCAAGAGGAAAACATGTTTTAAACTGTTACAATTTCGTATCATGGTAAAATTGTAGTATCATTATTACATTGTACTAGTTTCTATAGTTAAAACACAGTGTGACTCTCTTATAATATACACATTCTAATTTATCCTGATTAAAGATAAATAAAAGAAAATACAGTATCTGAAAATAACTTCAAATATGCAATTAAAACACTGAATTTTCCTAAAATAACCTAACAAACCTTCCAATTAGACACTGATTGAAACGATTTCAGTTCTCACTGACTTATTAATTAAGAACTTATCAATTTAATGGCGGAAAAACATTTTTTGATATGTTATACAACTGATTTTTTAAGACCCAAAATGGGAGTTTTAATGAAAAACTTAGATACAGATTTTTAAATATTTAAAAACTAAGAGGGGACCTCCTTTTTTTTTTTATAGGAAAGAACTAATACAAGTTTATGCAGGTGGTAATTTTGGTGAGGAATATATTTTCTTGATTAAGTTTCAATTGAAACAAATAACCAACCATTAACAAACAATGTTCTTGTTTAATTTCTTGTGACAGTAGCATATTAAATGCCTGTGGGCTCTGGGGCGCCCCCAGTCCAAAGGGGTCCTGGAGTGTACGAAAATAAAAGTTGACTCCATGGTTTTGTCACACAATATAATTATATTCTTTATAAGAATACAGACATTGCATTTAATGTCCTCTTTTCAGCATTGATAATGGTTTAGTGAATACTTCACTGAAATTTATGGGCCCGAACACGTTTTTCCCCTTGGGCCCCATGACTCGTTCTTATGCCATTGGATGTACTGTCTACCAAAACCTTTTGGAAAAAACCTCAAAAACTAAAATAAAATTGTCTATAGGCTAGCTCATATAAAAGGATCAAATAATTTATAATTATTTCATCCTGACTGACAGATATTTTACTACAAAAATCTTTTAAATGATTACCAGCCAAATTTAAGCAAAAAATTACAGGAAAGGTATTATTTTTCTGTCAGTTAATTGACGGGGAAATTTTTCTCATTCAAGTTTTAATAACTTACTTAAAAATACAAATTAGGCAATTAAAATATGGAATTGAATGTGTTTTAGCTCATGACAGATAGTATATCATTAATGATGGCAGATCTGTAATCTCCCTATTTGCAGTATCATTTCAGTTGACAGATTACTTTGTCTGCCCTACAAATATTGAAAGATGAACATAACAGGCATAAACAGCATGTAATAATTTAAATTAATGTAGATATATCGGCTATAGGTTATGAATGTATATATCGTATGTACTGTGTGCTTGTGGGTTAATGGCTCTGTATCATACACCTATCGCAATTTTGGGATGGAAATTACATTTAAACATGGATAAAATATATTGAAATGATGATAAATATTATTAATAATAATTATTAATAATAATAATAACAAATTAATAATAATATATTAACAAAAAAAAATAATAATAGAAAAATAATAATAATAATGATAATGATAATAATAATAATAATAATAATAATAATTATAATAATAATACAAAATAATAATAATATAAATATCAACAATATATAGTGACTTACAAACGCAGCTCTTATTGGTGGGATGAGACGAGGGAGAAGAGGCATGGCCTTGACTTGTGCATCTGGAACCTCTAGCAGCTCCCTGAAGCCGTTCTGGGCCACAAACATATAGGGATGCTTAAACTCTTGAAGACCCTAATTGAAGTTAGGGCGAAAAAACATAAAACTAAGGCATGGTACATTATAAATGTTTGCCTCTCTTTACCAAGGAGTATAAATGGTGGAATGATATCCTTAGGCTTAGCTATGCACTTAATCTATGTATGCCTGAGACAGGGCACTTTACCTATATATGTCTTTCATCCCCCAGGAGTATAAATGGGTATCCAGTAGGACGACATCCTTAGGCATGGCACTTAATCTATGTATATTTCTCTTTACCCAGGATTTTGGGTACCTGGTAGAATGTTGCATCTGAGGCGTCTTGATGGTATGTTTTGGGGTTGATGAATGATGGAAAAAGTAAGGCGCTCTGGCTATAGAAATGAAGTATATGCGGTGAACTTTAATATGAGAATAATGTATTTGATCAGCAAATTTCAAGTAGGGCTGCAAACTTCTTCTTTTTTTGGGATGTGTACATGCTAACTGGCAGAAGAAACATGAATACTCCACATGTAGTCCGGGGGCATATGTCGAAAAATGGGCTCCCGTGGGATTTTCGTGATCATTTTAGTTTTTTGGATGGAATATATACTTTGAAGTATGCTGAATCCAATAAAATGAGTCGCCAATTTTTTTACGCACATCTTCATATGTAAATTAGTTAAAATATGCAAATTAGTTCTGAAAATGTAGGGTACTTATATCTCGGTAACCACTTGTCGTAGAAAGTTGATTCTTTCTTAAAGTTGTTCAGAACATGCATGTTTTTATTTACCCTAATGAAACATTTTCTTCAAAAATGACCGGAAGTGCCATTTTGCCGACCTTATTAGCATAAATATGCAAATTAGGGGTGGAAATATAGGGAGCTATATCTGTTTTTCTTCTCGACCGGGGATACCGATCGTTTCGGTAGAAAAGTCAGTTTGTTTGTAAATAATTTTCAACCACAACAGCCATTGAACAACAAACAGCGGTGGCTGATTAATTTCAGTCCGAAATCCAAGTTGATGAAGAAGATATAGAAACCTCCAGAAATTTCATGTAATTTTTTGAGGAATTATTCAATAATAATATGAATATGCATATTGTACACATTTTGTTACAAAAATAACTCTCTACAGCCAGTGGTTGCGAATATATATATCTGTCTCTTATACACATCTAGATGTGTATAAGAGACAGTTATAAATGTTTGCCTCTCTTTACCAAGGAGTATAAATGGTGGAATGATATCCTTAGGCTTAGCTATGCACTTAATCTATGTATGCCTCAGACAGGGCACTTTACCTATATATGTCTTTCATCCCCCAGGAGTATAAATGGGTATCCAGTAGGACGACATCCTTAGGCATGGCACTTAATCTATGTATATTTCTCTTTACCCAGGATTTTGGGTACCTGGTAGAATGTTGCATCTGAGGCGTCTTGATGGTATGTTTTGGGGTTGATGAATGATGGAAAAAGTAAGGCGCTCTGGCTATAGAAATGAAGTATATGCGGTGAACTTTAATATGAGAATAATGTATTTGATCAGCAAATTTCAAGTAGGGCTGCAAACTTCTTCTTTTTTTGGGATGTGTACATGCTAACTGGCAGAAGAAACATGAATACTCCACATGGAGCAGTGTGTGTTGTGCACTTCACGGGACGTGGATAATTAATTCAATGACCAGGAATAATAGTGTACCACAAGCTTCTACTGTCGGGAGAATCCAGCGGTATGTAAGGCTCCACCTATGCTTATTATTACCACGATACAATTAATTTATTTCACCTTTAAAGAAAAGACTTACCTCTGCTAGAGTTATCAAAAGAGGATCAAATGATAACATATTTGGGTCTGTACTCCACTGTAACTTGTGTTTAACAGAGCCATGTGATAGCCTAGAAAAACAAACATTTTAATCAATTTCAATTTGCTACTCAACAAATCAAGGATATATGCATTTAACATTATAAACAATAATAACAATAGCAATAAAAAACACAAAAAAATAATAACATTGATAATGATGATGACAATTACAATAAAGTTGTATTTGAATCTTAATTTATTTAATAATAGGTATTACTGTAGGAACAAATAAAGAATAAATATAAATATTTTCCTTGAATTGTTGCATGTAGAATCCTTATGAAAGGACAGACATTGACAGAACAAGCTATGGCTCAGTAAAATTGCAAAACGGTGAAGACAAAACAGAGTAAGATGGTGGCAATTCATTGAGGCCCTAGGCATGATTGATTGAATGTGGATGAACGCGTAGTTTATTAACCTATGAAGTTAGATATATTATTATTATTATTATTTATATTATTATTACTATTATTATTATTATTATTATTATTACTATTATTATTATTATTACTATTATTATTACTATTATTATTATTATTACTATTATTATTATTACTATTATTATTATTATTAATATTATTATTATTACTATTATTATTATTACTATTATTATTAATATTAATATTATTATTATTATTATTATTATTATTATTATTATTATAATATATGAACAGACTGCCATTACCTGCATGGTATCCCACCATTAGAGTACACACTGGCAAAAGCTGATTTGGGCTTTTTTGCATCTGCAAACTGAAAATCAAGAGTTAATGATACATTTTTATAGACTACCTTGCTAGACAGTAAATGAACACTGAATATATATATATATATAATATTCAATACCATTACCAAACACCCGGGAATTTATTCCCATTTTTTCGATTTATTTTTCCAAATAGGTTTTCCCGCTGATTTTTTTTTACATCAGATTATTTTCATTTTACTTTAAAAGGCAGAACATATTATTTTTTTCGACTATAGTATTAATTATTGTCTGAGTTGTAGCGTTATTCAAACAATTTGGCAATAAAAGTGAAATGAATGAATGAATTGACTAATTGACTCTTGATGCATTCGCAATACAGTATTAAGAAGCCTAAAGACAAATTGTGAGGAACGTTTTAAAAAGTTTAAATCCGGGTTTACATTTTAAATAGAGGAATGAAAACAGGATATCTTTATAACATTTGCTCTTTTGGAATTTTGATATCACACCTGAAACTAGTCGTTCTATATACCCATATTTGTCTGAATCAACAAAACAAAACACTTTGGCAAGGAGCTGCAATATTATTTCTGTATTTTGAGGTCACTGCCTATAGTGATTTCTACGATTATTACGCCTACTTTTATTGTGACAACTTGTCATTGAAAATGCTTTTAAGGGTGTATCATAATGTCCAGTGTTTGCAGTGCATCAAAAAGTAATGCTATTCAACCATGAGTGACCGAGGGGTAAAACAGGGGTGCTGCTAACTACAGCCTTAACATCGGCACTGGTTCCAGCCGCTCCACGCCCAGGGTTTAGTTGGTAGAAGTCTACTTGGATCTTCTTCTCGGGCAACTATGCAGCTAGTGTGTATGATCTTGCTTACGTGGTGTGGTAGGATTTGCAGGTAGGATACCTGACATGGGCCGCGACGTAAACGCTATTTCTGTGGTTGGACAGGGGGCTGAAATGAACCAGTACACCGGGGTAACCCTCTACTCTTCTCGAAAGATGTACCGAGTTCTTTAAGGTGCACATGAGCCAATTTGTGTACACTGGACCTTTACTTATAATTGGGTACTGGGTCCAAACGTCTGGACATAGAGCAACTACGGCATCTAGGTAGTCACGGACTACGGCCACCATACGCATTTCAGTACAATGACGCTGTGACTCTGAGTTAACTTATGGGTTATCCTATTACATTTACCTTCACATGTGCTAAAAGAGTGTGAAAATGAATCAGTTGCTAGACCTATGTTGCCCAGGCTAGGCCTCTCTAGGACTAGCCTAAATATATTATAAATAGGACCTAGGCCTACAATGATGAGTATGAATAGGGGCCTAGGAAATGGCTTTCCTTACTGTAACTATGCCTAGCCTCAGCCTATATGACTATAATATTATTATATAGGCCTATTTATTATTGAAGTAAATGCGGGAAATAGATCTTACAGGATTCACTGTTTTGGGGTTCAGTCGCTGAGACGGTTTTACATGAGTTACACCAGTGGAAGAAGCTGATTTTGCTGTACTTCGTGCCGAGCTAGCACTGCCGCCACTAGGCCTAGACCTAGCAGGCCCAACATGAGTATCGCCGCTTGGGTTAGCTTTGACCTGGCTGCTCGATTTTGCATTCGTCGTAGGCCTAGCTTTACTAGAACTTGATCTCGGTGGGCCGAAAGAGGACATTATAATTTACTTTGTGTCCTCATACAATATGCAACATTCTTAATGGGTATCCATACATATACGACATATCCAAATAAATACAGGTTTGCAAATAAACAGCAGTTTTACAATGAAACAGAGGAGGCATAGACTGCCTAAGCTTCGTGTTGCTGCGTTACAAAGAATGCATAGCGCCACCAACGTGTGATGACCGTCTGTTTTTTTTAGAGAGAGAGAGAGGCGGCTAATGGTTGATTGGTGGATAGAGGTTTGTGTTGCTCTTGGAGAGCGATACAACAAAACAACCAGGCGTATTTTTGAAATGCACAAACCTACAATAAGTATTTGTCAAAATGGATAGCAACATTAGGCAACTATTAAGTGCATCGCAGATATATGGTGGTATGCTTTCACTAATAATGATAATATATCTGAAATTATCCTTGAATTAAATGTAAACGCATTTATTAGGCGTAGGACCAAGGCCGGAGCCTGCTGCTTAGGCTCACAGGCTCAGAAATACAGTACAGCCAGTAGTGACACACTGAGATTTGAAGACCTAGGCCTAGGCTAGACCGGTGAGGTGACCTAGCACCTGTACTACTACGTAGGCCGCCCTAGCTATTTTCAGAAGACAAATTGACTTCATTCACCTTTTATAATATTATAATAATAGGAAAAGTAATTAATTTTATAATTAATATTAATATTAATTATTGTAATAATGAAAATATGAGCACCCAAGCTACAAAAAAACACATACCAGACTGTATAGTAAAGGTCTGTGTAGTGAATGTATCCTTCGCGCAAAAATTTGGCCCAGAAATCTGTCTGCACATTTCGTAAAATCAGGGCCGATTTCCACGCAGCTTTTACCAAAAATTAAGCTTTCCTTTGACCAAAGCTTAATATGTAACCAGTGCAATTATGCAGCAATTACGATTCTGTGCACCTATTTTCCTAGCAATTTTCCGCGCAAATTTGAGCTAATTTTTTGGATATCCACTGCGCAATTAAAAAACTTTACAGTATGGCAAGGTGCAGGCGCAAGACTTTTGAAAATTGGATTTGGTACAAGCTGGTTTTGCTTTCGAGTTGGATTTAAGTCCGAGTTATTTGTTTGGACCAATTTGGTTTTGATTCGAGTTGGAACTGGTTCAGTTGAATTTTTTTTAAGTGGGTTGCCAGACTCAGGTTGGTTCTGTTTTATATGTAGCCAAGTTAGCTTTGTTTCGAAGTGAACACCACCAGTCATACTTTCAATGGAATGCATGTTACTACCACACAAACCAAGGGGCCGACTAGAGACTTGGCCATGGTAGGGTTTATAGGGAGAGTTTGGTGCCACCACTGCTACCAAAAAGCTGCAGCAGTGTCTTCACTTTAATGAAGTCGACTTTATCACTCAACATTTGTATCATCATTTTTTACTGTATTACTCTATTGGAAATCAGTCCTCTTCCAAATGCATAAAATAAATCTAAAAATTAATTAGAAAAATATAAAGATATTATTGTGTCACAATATTTTTTTCATGTAGTTGAGGGAGAAGATTCCTTTCTACATCAAGCATTCGAGCAACTGAAAGCAGCATCTGATAGACGGCCTTCAAGTGATGGTCCGGAGCCTTGCGGTCAAGATCTCTATGTTCAGTGTGCAGAAATAGCTTTACAGGTAAAGAACTGGGATTATGAGAATAAAAGAATGTTTTTATTGATTGACAGCATATTCATGTCATTAATATCACACATACATGTCAAGGAGGTTAACTAGTCTCTAGATGCAAGTGAGGTTACCTCCAAGATCTCAACCAATTTGATCATAAAATGATAAATGCCGCCCCAAATTGAAATATTAACTTCTCAAACTTTTGCTTCACTATCCCTCATGGACCCTCTTGTCAGATGTTCACTTTTCTCAATCAATTAATATTAAATTGAATAATTGTATCATATAATATAAAATGGGGCAAACAGTCACAAAACTGGGAAGATGGGTGCTTCACTGGCCATAGAACTTCAAGTGCTACAGGAAAGTTCCATGAATTGAAAAAGGTCGTGAAAGATAATGAAGTCTATACAAAAACTAGAAATAAAATCTTAGAGGCTTGTGTTCGGTCCAGACTCCTTTACGGTACCCAAGCCTGGTTTCCGAATGAAAGTGAGATTAAGAAGTTGAAAGCGTGTTGGTACAAACTGCTGAGGCAGATGTCAGGAGAGGGTTTGACAGTGTAAGAGAACTATCGGAAGAGGAATGCTACAAACTTGTATATTCTACTGCACGGATAGGAGAAATTGTTGGAACATCACCAATGAGAAACTTTATATATAGTCATATATTGGTCATGGTTGCAGAGGGCCAAATACATCTCTCACAAAAAAAGATGTTATTTGCTGCTCCAGCCAGGTGGTACTACTGTGACCTCTGGCTTAAGATATCTCGTATTTTAAGCATAGAAGTTGGGTAAGCCGAAGCCATTACACAATCAAAAGAAAAACTCGACGAACACCTAAGTATGCTGTTTAATGCTTGACAGGTTTTTTGCTCCAGCTCTACAATGTAGAAAAGAAGGATCACATACGTAAGTAAGTAAGTAAAATACCGAGCACTCCCTCAAATGGGCGCGTCAAGACGTTTTACAATACACCTTTTATAAGTCGAAGATTAGATTAAATTGGAGAATTTTATTCCTCCATGTATTGACCAAAATTTTTAGTATTATTGGCAGTAATTGAAGTTCTTTTTTTCCAGTATGGGTTGACTGACATGACAAAGGCTTGTCTCAGCATGTACCTGCACCGTACACCACCTTCCAATCAGTTCCTTTGTAGGGCTTATCTCTGCCACGCACAGCTGCTTGCCCCGAAATCAGCGGAAGAGATCGTGAGTAAAAAACAATTGGTGATAATACTATACAATAGTATTATTAATTCAAGAGATATTACATATCTTTAAAACTATTTTTTTTTAAAGATTAAGTATTAACATAACTATTCTTTATGATCGGTGATACCAAAGATTTTTTCAAATCTGAAAAAACAAAATAAAGTTAACCTGTTTTTCGCATTGCCCTCCCCTTTTACCAGCCTTTCATTTCTTGCTTGTCCATCTTTTTACACTTCCTTTCGACCTGTCCCCTTCCAATTTCTTCTCTTCATATTTCTTATCTTGCCCATTTCCTGCCTACCTCTCCACTTTCAATAGATTCTCTGACATGCTTCTCAAAGGATTTTCCCCTAATGATTTTTTTTCATCCACAACAAACTCACTCATGATATTTATGGTTCTGTAGTCTTGTTACGTTCCTCTTATTCATTTTTGTTTCTTCCAGAGTCAGTTGGATAAGGCTGTAGTTTATATTTTGAAAGCCATCCAGTTTGCTAAGGAGAATGCAAGGTAGTGAGACTACAAACGATATTTGGAATTTACATATTTTACAAGCCGTTAAACAACTTCAATGTCTCATACTATTAGGTTAAACATATTATACACTTCTGTGTTTAATAATTATTGATTTTCTTCAGATGACAAATATTAGATTTTTCAGACTCTAATATGCATAGTTTACATATATTCTCTTCTACTTCTAGGTATAATTTTCTTGTATTCAATGCATCAGTCCTGTATTGGCAGTTCTGTCGACCATTCCTGAAGCCCAACTATCGGCAGCATCTATCGATCAGTCTGCACAGTGTAGTGAAGGCTCTGGATGATATTGATGACAAGGACTATGAGTGGAGAGCTCAGCTAATGTTAGCTCTCATTGAGTGTCATGTTGATGCTGGCAGAAGTAAAGAGGCTGCCGAAGTCAGCAAAGCTGCAGCGGAGTTCACAAAGGCCAATGTGCCTAAGCTATACAAGCAAGTCCTGCAGTTACAGGTATTGGCAGATATAGATAATTACAAAAGAGTGATAGGCCTAGAAATTGTTAGGTCTAAGACTTCTTTCATGACTAGTAACTCTAATCTGTAAACCCCAACTCACACTGCATCAGTCGACTATTTAAGAATGGAGTTGTATAGCTTAGTGGTTAAGGTACTTGCCTTCTAAATCCATGGTCCTGGGTTCAATTCCTGTGAGAGTAGGACTTTTCTCACGACTAAAAACAACTCCATTCCCTAAGCCTCATAAAGACACTTGGTTTATATAGCATTGTCAGTCCTGTAATTGTCTGAGTTAATCGCTGTTGGATGCAAATGCAACTGAAATATAAGATAAATCCATTATGCTGCGTTAGCACCTGTATGCAACACTTCATCTCGCCTCTCATCAGCCAACGTGGCATAAAATTTGATTTGTAATTCATGAAAAACTTCCATCTTCTAATAAGCCAGAATATACCAATTGTTGGTTAAATTAACAAATATAATGTTGATGTAGAATTTGATATGTTATGCATATTTTATTAGCAGTTGTTTTGTGTTATTTTGTGCTATCTGTCTGACTGTCTAGTGAAACCCACATAAGATACTAATCCTTGAAGGAGCCCACAGGTAATAGTAACACAATTTAGTTCAGCTTAGAAATTGTCTCAATCCGTTGAAGGATTAAAACACAACATCTGAAATTGTTCAAAATATATGTTTATTTTACAGGTCCAACATAACTTGGTTGAAAGCAACAAACTGGCCAAGGAAATCAAATCAAACGGAGACCTTACAGGGTACTATAAACTAGCCAGAATGAGACTGTAAGTAGTTGATTAGTGAGGGCGCTCTTTTTATTAACCTCATAATAATTTTTGAAACCAATGGCAACCATTTTTCTCTATTTAGTTGTCAATAACATCAAAACTGGCAAGGATTCTATTCAATGGAAAAGCATTGCTGGGATAAAATTCTGATTGTTTCATCTTTTGTACATTGTTCAATTTTAGCACATAAACATAACATGGTTTGATGTATAGATTTTGGGGGCAATACATACAACATCTATGCCAGTGTATTTTGTCATGTAACAGGCAGATTTAGAATGTTATATGTTTAGAATTATAATTATTGTGTGTATCATTATTCATTATTTTAGATCACTTGAACAGAATGATGTGCCGGATATAAAAAGTAGTTTAGAACGTCTACTCAATCAGTTCCTTCAAGAAGATGATGACATTACTGCTAACTCCAGGGCATCTAGCGTTATGTCAACATTTGGACGCAAAACGCCTCAGGCCGCAATTCCGCAAACTCCAACAATAGAAGAAAGGTAAAGTAAATTGTGCTAAAAAGTACACATTAATTTTCTGATCTTCATCCATTTTTTTTAGAATTAGATAATTAGGTTATATTTTAAATGGAATGATGAACCCATATTGAATTAGTTAAATTGATAATATGTCTACATGTATTTGTTAATGGAACACTTGACAGATAGTCTTTCCTCCCCCTAAACTACCCCCCCCCCCAACACCTTTTTGATTTTTGATTTAGTAGCATTATTATGACTTACAATTAAAAAAAGTCTGTATATAATATTTAATGTTTTACAGAATTATATATAAAGAATAATTATAAAAAAATGTATTTATAAATATACAAATATATATATCTTCATATAAAATTATACAAATGTATATGTTAATATAAAACATTTTGTTTTATATTCAATACATATATGTATATATGATGAAACTTACATAGCAACAAACTTTATTTTTATTATGTCATTGGTGAATTATCTGCTGTTATCCCGATAAATTGACATGAAAGTAAGGAGATTATATTAGTCAAATTCACTGTAACACATGTCTACTCACTTTAAACGTTTTTGAGGGAGAGAATATATGACAGTGGAATTTCGCTTGTAAAAAGACATTGAAAGCATAGCAACATTTATACTTATTAAACTTGCTGCATTGTCTCGCTTAAATTGCCAAGTCCAATTACATTTTTCTAATGTTTTTCTGCTTAGTAACATTAACACTCTGACCACCAGGCGTTTGATAAAAATAGTATCAGTCAACGCAAGATTTTTTAGCAACTTTTAACACTTTCCTGAAGCTCGTTGAGAGTGCGAATGTGATCAGATCGACATGTAGTGAATACTACAAGAATTCCAAACATTTTAGCTTTACAATGGTACAAAACACTCTATTCTAATCACAATCTGTGACCCGTAACAGTAAAATGACTCACTTTTGGCGATTTACGCAATTTCAAACAATGAAACTGAGAATAATCGCGATTTTGTGAAAGTAAATAAATACCGCTCTATGCTAATGTAAACAAACAAATAGTGAAATACTTACGGTTCAGAGTGAATATAGTGTTCAAATTGTTAGTACATGTAGTTACCCCATCTATTGGATTCTGTAAAAAAAACCTGAAACACAGAGATCGCCGTGTTTGGTGGTCAAGCGTTGTGTTACCAAACACGGAGATCTCCGTGTTTGGCGGGCAGAGTGTTAAGCAACCTGTCTTGTAGCTAAACCATTGTGTTTAAAACTACTATTGTAGAAGCACAATGGAATATAAATTAAAAGCAAGAGATGACAAAAATTGCTATTAATATCTATTGACATTATCCCTAATATTCAGAAGTGGATACAAGCGGGTCCAGCAGAGCTCCCTCAATAATTTTGAAAATACCATAAAATTCTGTACCTCAACCAAGATATAAATATTATGGATCTGGCATCTAGTACCTATTCTTCCTATTTTAGACAATCTGACTATTCAGAAATCTTTTTTCATACATATTATTTATTTATTTAAAAAAATTTTTATTATGGTATATGGTATATAAATACAGAAATACAAAAAAGTAGCACAAGGCTAAAATTGTCTGTATTACAATAAATTTCACATTAAATATCTTCTTTACAGCTCCACATGCCCCAAATGTCTCCTCTTTATTCATAAAAATCTGTTAAAGCAATTTCATTTTTTTTAAAAAACCAAACTCTTTTTAAATGTTGCTTGCGCATAGTAAAAGTAAGCCCCCAACAACAATAGGTAATCAAGGCAGTAAAGGTAGTTTTGCCTCACTGGTAACAAGTCTAGTAAGAGGAAGCACAACATCCAGCGACGTGTAAGTTTCTTAGATGTTGTGATAACCATCAAATATATACGATGGATTGTTTTTGCGACACCGTAATAGCACTCAGTCACGTTTAACACATGCATGTGTGACCTTTCAAGAAATGTAATTTTTGTTTCAAGTAAAATTTACATTAAGTGTGTTCTGATGGTTCTTTTTTTTTCTCAATAAAATTTACATTGATTAACAAGTTTAATCCAAACCATAGCCTTAAGTGATATTGTATTAATATAAATGTAGACAACATTACTTGTTTAATTTTTTTTATTATTTTTTTTTTCAAACACTAACAGCAATAAAAGGTAGCCACTTTGAGGCTGTAAAAATTTACGATGTATTAGTAAAAGGACAAGTGACCTGTGACCCCTCTTGATGATAAGAAAAATTGAGTACTATAAATGGATTTGACCTGTAACATTCAAAATGTAATTTATTACAAACAATGTAATGTGATTGTTTAAAGGAACAGCATATTTGGCTGGTGTATTTTTGCTGCAGTAGCATGGGGGTGCATTCCTCCAAAAATGTGTAAGAAGCGCTCCACCCCTACCCCTCCACATCCCCATATTGGTACCATACTATAGAAAGGCTGTAAATTTACATAGGAAAAGTCTCAATAAATGCCTTTTTGTAGGGTAGAAACAAGTACTTGGAGACGTCTTTTTAAAATCCTCCATTGTAGCTTTCATCCAATAACAAAACTGCTAATTATTAAATATATAAATTTACTTTAAATTTGTTTGTATTTCATTTCATAAGACTAACATACTTCAGTATATTTATTTATTTATTGATTTTCACTATTGAATTAATTGACACTAATCATTAATTATTGTTGAATTTTGTTTGTGGCTTAAAATTAACGTTTTTTGCAAATTGAGTGTTTTTTGCATACTTACACACTGCAGCAGTATGGCAGGCAATGGTTCTCCACCATTAACTGATGAGAGTTCATCTGAAGATCCTTTGCCAACAGTATCAGAGTTGTGAGTGCTCTGGGCTTTGTTGATTTTCTTCCTTATTCATTGCACTAATGTTTTCCAGATGATTCTAATATGGTGCCCCTGCTTCCTCTGGTTCTAATGACAAATGTAACTTACTGTTCACCAAAACAAAAAAATATACCTCTATTTGAAACAGTCATTTAAAACATAATTATACATACTTGTTCATGTATGAAATATGTATTTATTTCATATTTTAAAAATTGTATTCAGGTGGCAGTAATTAGGATAATAATTTACTAAATACTGAAAAATAATATCTGGTGTCGCATGTGAAAAAATCTGATGTATCTAAAATGATGTGTGACTTCCCAAAAAATACAAAAACATTTTTTTTATTGTTAAAAGTAGAAATTACCTTTATATATGTATAACATTGTGAAGATTCATAACATAGAACATTGTGTTGCATCTTTATTATTTGATCCACTATTTATTAAGCTTATAAAACTTTTCCCTGGTTGATATTTGGTATTCAGGCCTTAGCATTTGTCATTAAGAATAACTGCAAATTGTCTAACATAAATTTCTTTCCTTCACTTCATTACTATTTCAATCATAAAATATGTTTTCTTTGCACATAATTTTCTACTGACCTTATAGCTTCTCATATTTCACCACAGTAAATCCAAAAGTATAGTCAATTCTTATTTGTTTATTATTTTTTATGAAATATAATTTATATGGGAGGAATTAATTTACATCATTACATGCTATTCAAGTTTACTTAATTGGTCAAATATGTAAATGAACATATTCATCATCGTCAGTATCATAATTCATCATTTTAAAAATCTTTTTTATTATCACAATCTTTGTCAACTACACTACATAAACAAATTTTGTACAAGATTGATACATTGGCCAGCTTCAGTCTTCACAGACCAATTACGAAAGACATATACTTTATTAATTTGTTAAAAAAGTGACTTTTTTTTTCAAATCGTTTTTATTTTTCAAACATACCTTATATATGGTTCATTGCAAATATATGATAATTGTGATGATGGCTCCATTCTATTATTTTTTTTATCACTATTAATTAAAGATAAATTAAAATATTAATAACTCGATTAAAAGGAGCAAGTCATTTATTAACATCCAATGACAGACAGATCAAAATAAATGCCCTATAAATATTTACTACTTACTAAAAATCCTTAAAATTTATTACCAACTAATGTCAAAGGTCAATACATATAAGAATATAGGAATGGTATTAATATCTGTTAATTGGTTAGCAAATTTTATTTCTCAATTTACATTTAATTGAAGGCCAAAAATGTATATAAAATATACATGTCAAATATGGATTATTTTATGTTTTTCTCAGATGTTATACATAGACTGTAATCTATAGTAATAGTATTAAGAGAGCTAGTATGTAGAAATTGGAGCCATTGTGATCATTTTCATTATACATTTTTTTTGCTTTGTTTTTTCTTGCATCTTTTGTTATTTATTATATTCTGCTTGCTTTTTTCTGCATGCTGCTTATTTTGTTAGGAAATCTGCTGTCTCTAAGTGGAAAAACACACCAAGTACAGTTCCGCTTACCAAGAAAGAGAAGTGAGTCTGCCCTCAAATGAAATTTAAAAAAAACCCCTGTTCAGGTTGTAAAAAGGTCTTAGAAAATGTTCATATAAGAATTTGAACCAAAGACCCTCAAGTTATCATTCAATTCCTCTGTTAAACTAAACACCATATTCCAGATCTGACCTACTCAGCCTTAAACTACATTTACTTGAATGTTTGACCGTCCTAGGATATAAATTTTAATCTCTAGATGATCTATATAGAAGCAGTGGAGTATCTAGGATGCTAGATANNGATCCCCCCCCCCCCCCCCCTGCTAGATATGCTACTGATAGCTTGTACCATACAGAATGAATCCCTTGCCCTCCAATTAAGTCAGAAAAGTTTTCTTTTGTGTCAGAAGCCACTCTGAGATTACCTTCTTTCTTCAATATTCCCACCAATCAACTTTTCAGCTTTTAACCAGAATATCACAGAATCAACTCAGATCAAATAAAAACAATCATATAACAATATGCGTTTATCATTCCTCGAGTGTTCAAAGCAAAACACTCAAAATAGAGTAAAAATCTGCATTGAAAAACTAAACCATGCCCCCTCCTTGGATTTCCCATATTACCTGAGGAAAAGTGCGATTGATATCAAATAAGATGTTATTCAATCACTTATTGTTTTAGTACTACTGTAATCTTTATTGTTTTTGCATGTGTCTACCAATAGATATTGTGTACAATGTTTTAGTGTGTCATGAAGTTACACTAAATTTATAATTGATAAGGTACTGCCCACCTCATCTATATTGCTCGATGTTTAGAAAATTCCCTTTTTTAAAGTTGCATGATAATAAATAATGAAAGATCACATTATATTTATAATTTTATGTATTATGTATTATTTTGATGAAAATTACATCATCCTCATAATTATAATCATAATTATCATCATCATTACATATTAATACTTGCGGTACACCGCATAGATGAGAAGAACTGTTGTTGGTTGAGAATGTCTCGACGTTTTGATTGAGTTGCTTCAGTCGTCTTCAGGAGAATAATATCTGCAGAAAATTGCAAACAGGGAAATGATTATATGTTTGGGTAGAGAGGCTTGCTGCTGATTGGTGAAAAACTAAACAATTAATTTTATTTTTATTCAAAATCACCATTATTGGTGAGAGCAGCGGGTTCACTAAACAAGGTATGCAAAAAAGTCTCGCCTAAGGGTGGGCGTGGCTAGAAAGCCAAGACAGTGGCATTATTATTTTTGGTATTTAACGTTATAATTATTTTTATCATTTTTATCATTATTGTGACTTTGATATGCTTCATTCCAGGCCTCTATTATTAATTGAATTATGTAGACTCTGTTTGGAACAGGATCAGGCTGATTTAGCCAGCCAGGCTATCCAGGCCATCAAAACATGCCCAATCAAGGTTAGCTCATTAATTAAACTTTAATTAAATTCATATATGATAATTTATTCTGGATTAACCAAAAGAAAAATTCATAATTATAACAATTTTGTCCTTCAGTTATTTTTTTGACAAACAGTATTCAATATCCATTAATTACGAGAGTTCCATTTATGTCTTGTGCACATTTTTGTCCTATTTAAAGTTCTTATATTATTTTGAATAACAAGAAAATTAAATTTTATTTATTAAATTATTTCACTCACAGTCTATTAGAGGAGAGGATAACATTTGTCAATCAAAAGATAATATCTGATGTTTGTCCCAAGAAAAAATATATATCGGTAAATTTAATTAAATTGCTGTATGTCAGTAAGCAATAAATAAATAATTACCAAATTTTTCATATTATAGTAATGTTATTCATATTTTATTATGCTATTTTTAATCTTGACATAGTTATTACATTGCCAATTGATTATAAGTTTTATTTTCTTTTTTAGGAGACTGGTCTTTTACTTGAGCTGGAGTTCCTTGAAGCGGAGCTCATAGTTCGTAACCTAGGCGACAAACAAGAAATTTACAGCAAGAGCTCTGTTGAGGTGAGTGAAGATGATTGCCAACTTGACGCTATAGTTTTAGTTAGATATACCAATGTGTAAGAAAGTATAATACATACTCCAAGCATTGAAATACACGCCATCGTGTTGGGATTTAATATTTCGACATTAATTATGTCATCATCGGGAATGATGACATAATTAATGATGGTGACATAATTAATGATATATTTTTTCTTGAGAAAAACATCAGAGATTATCTTTTGATTGACAAATGTTATCCTATCCTCTAATAGACTGTGAGTGAAATGATTTAATAAATAATGATGATGACATAATTAATGTCAAAATATTGAATCCCAACACGATGGCGTGTATTTCAATGCTTGGAGTATTATTATACTTTCTTATCTGAGATTAATCAGTGGACCTTTCGGTATACCAATGTGTTGTATGCAAAATACTTATGAATACAGTTTAATATATAAAGCTATTCTTTGTATATAAACAATTCTTTTATATACTGCCGCCAAGATACATTATGTGTACGCGGTAATAATGGCGACGCCATCTCAAGATCTAGAGGGTGCACATTCTTCCCCTTTGTGTTTGTGACTGTTCATGCAATCATTATTATATTGATAGTAATTGTTTTTCTAATAGTTTAATGTACAATAACCAAACATCAATATCATGCTCTTTTACTGGATGCAGTAATTTTAGTTTCACATTGAACTCTGATCCTAAACTGTTTAATCCTAAATAAATAATATTCTTCTTGGAAACAAGCTATTGTAATTTTTGTTCAATTATTTTTTAGGTTCGCTTGCAGTGTATTCATAGGCTGAATGAGGCTCTTCAAACTGCTATCAGGCTTGGCGATCCAAATGTCTTACAAGTTGGTTGTTCAACAATGTGGAACGTCTGCTTACCTCTGCTACAACCAAATCTCAGACACCATGTCAGGAAACCGCTAACAGTTATTGCCGAAGCATTAGAGAATATTGACAGGTACGCTCTGATTTGAGATAGCACATTAGCGGGCCGTAGGGTAAATTGACTTTATAGGACAAATACTAGTGATTTTCCCATATATGGATGTGATAAATGACATCATTATCTTGTGTATAGTAGGTAAATCATAGACATTTTGTCACAGAGAACTTGGAAGTGTCTGGCCACATTATTAAGTATTATGTCACGAATATCCATGATTTGGCTATATAGTATGATATGATATCATTATGCCCTAATACGGGTTTAAGTATTGAGCAATAGAAAATAACAAAATACTGTGTCTGCAACCATTGAATTTGAATCATCATGGACCATTCACTCTCTTTGGAAAATTTCTCATTGATTATTGAAATCATTATGGATAACTTGGTTTCTTGTGTAATAAATTACCATTCCTTTCCTTACTTTAACATATTTAATACATAGAACATTCTAGAATAACATTTAATTGATCAAAGAAACAGTGTAAACCACATTGGTAATTTTAGGAACACATGACATCATGTAGAATCCAAGAGTAATATATGGAAGCTTCTGGAATCTTGGGTACTATAGAGGCAAATAAGTCTAATTGGTTAATTATGACGTAAGGTGACCAATGAGGAACATAGGCAATATAGAATGATCTGGAATGCTCTGGAGTAGTGCAGCTAGGGTATATAAGCTGATAGTTTTATCTTACTGGAGCTCTTTTTGAAACACATGTTTATGTGAATGTTATTGTGTTATTTTGATACTGGATTCTTGTTGGAGTTTATACAAAATAAAAGTTTATTTGAGAGTTGTTTTACAACATTGTGAGCTGTGTTTATATTTTATATGTCAGAGGGATTCCTAGTCATTTCTATACCACTAGGAAATACGTCAAGTAGGAATTTGTGACTTTGAACAAGTCATCTAATCATAAGCCTGGTTCTCACGAGAGCCCTAGTATCCAGATCCGGAGCTAACCGTTAGCGCTAACCGTTACCACCTGCGTGAGAACACCCGATCAGTTAGGACTAACCGTTAGCGGTATCTGGATACGCTAACGGTTGGCAAGTGCTGTCGGTTAGCAATTTGAGGGTGTTTCTGTCATCAACCAAGCACAAGTACACGTTTACAATTTCCAGTTTCTTATTGGCCAGTGATTCGATCATCATATTATTGGTATCCGGATCGGGATTTTCTTGCATGGACGCACGGCAGCTAACGGTTAGCAGGATCCGAATCCTGCTTACCGTTAGGTGCCGTGTCAGAACATAGCCTAAGTCTGGCGAAGATAGCCTGAGTAGTGACTATGTCAAGACCAACACTCCCTGGGAATTTATTGATAAAAAATTGAAATGTGTTTTTTTAGAAAGTATATACATGGCTAGCTAGTGTAAAGTATTTAATAAGAATAATAGTGTAATATATAAGCCCTATAAAACCATTTGTATTTTGTGTTTTTCAGTTTGTTGATACTCTTACGATGCCAAATTCACACAGAATTAGCACGGTGTGAAGAAGATGTAGAACAAGTTGAAATTGCTATGTCGCATCTGAAGAAGGTACCGTAAGCCAATTGTATACTTTGTATCATCATGGTGATATAACAAATTCTAGCCAAATTTGTTTCAACTAGTTTATGCATGTTTTTCTTGGTAAATCTATATTGGTTTTTTTCCCCCTTTTTTTTTTATAGTTTTTTTTTCTCTTGACGGTATTAATTTTTTCTTTAGGTTTAGAAAATGGTCACATTGATAAGTATTGTGGATAATTTAGTGTTCACAAACAGCATTCATCTATTCCAACATTGATTTTTCAATTTTAATTTTAAGAAAATAAGTGATTGTTGAAATTAATGTATGCAAGATTTCTAAAACTTTTTCCTTCAGGCTAACAAAATGCTCTATTTAATTATTAAGTAGCATGGTTAAGTTATTGTTAAACAAATACCAAAAATGCATTTCAGTCAATACATTAATTTTTTAATTTAATGTAAATAAAGTACATTAAATTATTATTGTTCATTATGAAATATATTTTGGCAGGCTCTTGCATTAGATGATGGTGGCCATTACAATGAGCGGCTACAGCATGCCCTACAAAGGCTAAGCCTTCGAGCTGAATTATACCAGCAACCTGAAAGAATGGAAGACCAGGCAGCAATGATCATTGAGCAGGTAAAAATTATTAAAGCATATAGGTGTATCTAAGGATGAGGCCTGGGAGATTATTTCCTCACGAAAACTTTACCATTCTCTCCAATTTGCTGAGCACCAAAGTAGTTAATAAAACACCACAATCTTCCAAGCTTGCCTAGCTAACTTTACTATTGCGCCCTCTGGTCATGATGTGATTTCATCATAACCATATTTGGCATGTTGCAAGTTTTTTTTTTTTTTTAACTATGGTGCCCTCTCATCAGTTTTGCCATATCAGTACTCTGAAGCTCTGTCTACAATATGAAATTTTCTGTGACAAAAAATTGTTGTACAACCATATTATATAGTTATGATGTGCCTATATATGGTCATGATGTGATGTCATCATGACCATATTTAGTCTTGTCACAAGTTTTTTGTCAAATCAAATTTGATGGTCTGCACAGGGCTTTAGATATGCCACAATACAATTTATATATTTTATGGATAACATCAATTAATCAATTTCCGGATGTCATGCCCTCCTTTCTTTTTATCCATTGGCTACATATTCAATAATACACATTTTTTTTCCCATTTATACTTAGGCCCGTACTAGTGCTGAATCTGGCAGCATCCGAATGAAGCGTTCGCTGCTAGTGAGAGCAGGCCAGGCGCTATCACCGGACGCCTTTTTACATGTACTGGATAGTGAAAGTGACACTAAAGGTAATGATGATTTTTTTTCCTGCCTCCTCCTCAGATCTTTAAAAAAAAAGCTGGGTAGAAAAAATTTTAAAAGTCTTACCTTAATGTAAAGAAATTTTGTGTCTCTAGTGTGATATTTACGTTTAGAGTTTCTGAGAAATACATATTGCTCATATATCTGTTCTAGTACTTCATTAGCATTAATTTTTATAGCTGTTCTTTAAAAAGCAATATATTGCTGCAATAACATTGTTGTAATAGATTTGAAATGTTTTTGGTTCATGAAAAAATGATTTAATGGCAACCTAATTTAAATTATCCAATTTGTATTTTCAACTCAGGTGTGTGTAGTCATTCTGTCAGTATGTTTTTATAACAAAGGCAATAAATTCAGGTTGTTGAAGGAAAGTTTTCTAAGAATTATTTCAATTTATATGATAAATTAAATTTTTCATTGTCTACAGACTACAATCCAACACAAATCAACATTGAATATAGTAAAGAAATTCTTTATTAATATGAAAAGGAATTCCAATTTTATTATTGGTTATGATGTAAAGCAGCTTTTATAGATGCACCACACTGAATGAATGTTTTCTAGGAACTATTTAATAGTTTATGAATAATTGTCATACTCAGCAGTTTATATAGTCCAACATGATTAGACATAGAATTCAATTAAATTAATAACTGTGTACTTTACACTTGCAGACCTCTTATCCTTGTTATCCTCTCCCAATATACCTTTATTTAATCTTTTCGCATTCTGTTCTGTAATGGTTATGTCTGTTTTGCTTCCATATATTGATCTTTAACCATGGCGAATACAGGAATTTGAAATAGAGGGGAACAGAGAGGGACATGTAACATGTAGAATTGATTATTGCAATGGGGTCATTTATATTTTACCAGGAAAAGTAATCTATTAGATACAGCTTCAGCTAAACACAGCAGCCTATCTTGTCAAACAATTTTTAATTTTTCCTAAGTTTCTTTCAATGTTCCTTTTAAATCTGTTTTAATTTGTAGTTAAGTTATCCATCTTTTTTGGTTACCATATGTATATATCTGCTTTTAAAATTTTGTAGTTAAGAACTGAACCACTTTGGAAACCAGTACTATGTATTGAAAGTGTATATTCAGTATAAAGAAAGAATAAATAAATAAAATACCTAAAGGACAGCACATCACTCTCCATTAGCTACCAGTTAAACAGCGCATTGCATTCCAAATTCTTGTTCACACATACAAGAGCCCTTTTCCATCTTTGCCCGACAACCTGTTGCAAAAGACTTCGGTCTACCATAAGCCAGCATACACCTTTTACTCCAGGGTGCCACTTGAAAGCTCTGGAATGAACTTCCCATCTACATTCGGGAGTATTCCTCGCTCTCTGTTTTCAAGCAGAGCCTTAAATCACACCTTTTCCTTTCTTTTTAATTTGTATTTGTTTTCTATTAATTTTACTTCTGTTGTTAGGAAAGGCTATAGGCCAGATGCCAACACTATTCGATCACCTGTGAGTCGTAACTGCTAGTCGGTGGTCTCAAATTGCAGGTGAACAGTGTGATAGTGTTGTTTCGGTTATTTATTTTAGCATGGTTAGCTTAGTTGACCTACTAGAATAGATTTTGCTTTTTTCGTTTTCTGTATAGCTCATAGAGACCACATATTATGCACTCCAACCCTTACCATTACAGATAAAAGGTCTAGACCACTTCAGCTCCAACCACCAACCATAATTATAGCACCTTGAGATGGTACTCTCACTCTTAAGATTGAATATAATTTCCTTTTTTCTTCATTTAAAAATTTTGAAAAATTTAGGGCCCCCCTCGAATCTACCACTGTAAGGAATAGGTGATTAAACTTTGGGGTGAATATGCCAAAAGAAAAGGTCAAGGTCAAAAATTTAAAAAAAATTTGAAATTTTACCTGTCAAGCATAATGGAATTTCTGTCTTTACTATGCCCTATAGGTACTGTATTGTTCTGTATTCAAGCATTAAGTGGAGGTATGCACTCAACAGTTTGTAGTTATTATTATGTAGAGAAAAATTTGGCTGTGGAAATATATTGTTAAAATTCACTTTTCAGCTGCGGCAGGAACAGGGCGTGGGTATCAAGGAATTTTAAGCGAGTTTGGATCCAAGGCCAAGAATTTCAACAAGTGTGTACGCAAGCTTGAAGGTCACCTGAAGAGACTCGGCAACGAAAATGACAGAGAGAGGTACTGCATATTAATATTCAAATTATTAACAAACTTTTTTTATGCTTACATTGTGATAAAAAATGGAAAAAACTAAATTCTATGTTGTCATTGTAGAACTGTTTAATCGATAATAAACCAAGCACAATTTGATGTAAACTTACTGTGAGCTTTCGTCTATGTTGTCAAATTGTACTTGGTTTATTATTGACCAAACAGTTCAACAGTAAGCATACCAGATGAAAAAGAATTCGGTTGTTGTCATTATTTTAATCACCCATGGCACAAACAGATGATCAACTTCAGACTTAAAAGAAGCATGGAGCTTTATTATTGTGCCACAATGTACCAACCCACATAAAGTTTCACCCCTATTCTTTACTTTCTTTTTATTACCATAGAAGACTCTATAATGTAATTAAATAAATGAATAGAACGTAAATGTGAGGTCTCACTACAAAATAAGTCTCATCGTTTAGAAAATCAAAAATGATTTTATATTACATTTTGGTTGATCACATTATAAGCTTTAATTTGGTCTTAAATAGATCCAGAGATGTGAGCATTTCAAATTTAGGTGTATGAGAACCACGTTTTGAGAAAATCGGCCTCAAAGATAAACTAACCTGTACAAATAATAGGACTAGAATTACAGAATATGCAAAGAGAACTGTTTTAGTAAGAAAATTCACTTAAAAAGTACACAATCATAAAATATAAGTATCAAGTTATTCAAAAACAATTTTGTAAAAATGTTGCCTTTAACCTATTTTGGTGAATATCTCAATATGATTTCACCAATGATGCATCTCATTTTGTGTTGAGACCTCACAAATGACAATATATGTATTTTCCAGAGCAAGACTGTGGGCTGACATTGCCAAGACGGCACGTAAACAAGAAGTGTGGGACGTTTGTCGAATCGCTGCTCGTTATTGCCTTCTTTATGATGATGATCGATGGCATATGGCACGCCCTCAAACTGTATCACATTTAGAGACACACAGTGAAAGGTTAGAATGCAGTGGGGTACATGAATGTAGTGCTGAAATTATGTAAAATGTTTAAAATGGTCTTATTTTAGTTTAGATGCGTTTTCATATATATATATGTGGCAAAGACAAGCCAAACCAGTCACTTGTCGCAAAACCTGTTTTAGAGATAATAGCCAAAACATGCTGGAATGTCAAAATTTTGGAAATCTATTTTATTGCACTAAACTAACCTTTATCTATCTATATCTATATAATGCTATGCTGTTATTTTCCTCATTTTCAATGTTAAAACAACAATTTTTAACGATTTGGTGATGGTTTCTGCCTAAGAAATGCCTGAAATCGTAAACTTTAAAGGCTGATTTCTCAAATGTGTAAAGTCATAACGAAGTGTCGGATTTAAATGATTCTTTTACCATTTTATAGCTCTCATTTTACTGTTAAACCCTGTATTAATAACTAAAAATTGATTTTTCCGACGAGTGGCTGGTTTGGCTTGTCTTTGCCACATATATGTGTTCAGTTTTGAAATTTTATGAGCCACAGTTTTGCCAGTTTGGAACTTTTGTGTTGATAATGATATTAATTATATTTATGGTAGGTGAATTCCATTGGGAATAGGAGTTTATTTTCCTTTATAGCCTGTCATCTCTATCTAAGAGTAAAACTAAAATAAATAAATAATAATAAATAATATTTTGTTTATGAAGTGTTGGAAGGGAATCTGTAAATGAGACGCCAACCGGACAACGTAAAAGAACCGGAACGGCAGAACAACCTAGTACAGGGCTAAACACTCCGCATAGTGACAAGGATCTGATAAGAATGCTAGCTGAGATCTACTTCTTAAATGCTGAGGTTTGTCTATGAGCTGAGATTTTCATATTAATGATAATTATTTAGTAATATAATATAGCACATTTGAATAAAACTTGGAATCACTGCACATATGCTAAAAGATGAGAATTATCATAAATGCTCGAATAAGCGCCGTGGCGCTTGTATAATTTTTTCAAAGCGGCGGTTATTCGAGAGCGGCAGTTTTCAAGAGCGGCGCTTATGAAGAAATATATTGGCTTGGCGCTTTCCATGCTCTTTCGTATGTTATCTATCTCATGTATTCCCGTACTTCAGTAGGCCACATCATCGTAAATAGGCATTTTTAAAGAAATGCTTGTATCTTCATTGTGTTACTTCTTGTTTCTCAAAGTGTTTCATTACACACAGGGTAATATATACTGTCGATTAAGCGCTGCGGCGCTTTTTCGAGAGCAGCGCTTATCGAATAAAAAATTGGTTTGGTGCAGTGCTTATTCAAGAGCAGCGGTTATTCGAGAGCGGTGCTTATTTGAGCATTTACAGTATGTGTCTCTGGTTTTATTTCTCCCAGAATAAAAAATGATTGCGTGAATATGCAATACCTTGTTTAACAAACCTTGTTTTAAAAATTGTTAGAAGAGAATGGAAAAAACATATTAGTTTTGACATGTAGGTAAATGCTTCTGCAAGAAGGATCTAGTAAGGGAGATAAAATAGCCTGCTCCCGCCCTTAATATCTTTCTATACTTTTTACATGCAAAAAGTTTTTATTAAACATTAATTCTTTGTTTTAACTCATAGGCATTGATTCATCTCCTTCGTTCTGAGGGAGTAAAACTGAATACGAAACCGATCCCACCAGAAGATAAGCGCAAGCATCCAAAAGGTTATGTATCTAAGAAGCCAGAGGAGGATGAGGATTGGATAACATACAGGTATGAGGTCTTGGCTAAAATGATCATTAAATTTCTTTTTTATAACCTGAATTAAAGCTTCCCTTTAATTTTCTGGTCTAGGAATACAATAATAATATAAAGCAGATATAGTTGTAGTGTGTCTAGATACACCATTCGCCTATGTAATGTTCCATAATTATCAATTTGTTAAATAACTAATTTTGTCAATTTGCCTGGTCTGTTGTGCAATATTTTTTAAAGTTAATGTGTTTTTGTTGTGTTTTTTGGTATTTTTTGTCCTCTCCTACATTTTTCTTCATTTCCCCCAATTTGATTGTTCCTCTTTTTACTTGTGTCTTCATTCATACTTCGTTTTATTATATTTCAATATTAATATTGTACCTTCGTACCTGATAATTGTAAACAAAAGTGTATTTAGTGTATATTGAATTGTATTGTTTCTTATTGTTTGGTCTTTTTAGTGTTAGAATTTTTAATTATAAATTTGATGTAATTCAGCTACCAATTCAGCTGCCAATCAAATATAAAATAAATAAAAATTTAATCGAAAGTGAAATTGAAAACTTTAAAAGATTCAATTAAACCACATAATTGCTCATTTAGATAGAACAAATACTTTCAATGATAGAAAAACAATTCAGTTTATATTGATTTACAGTCATTTTACTAAAAGTAGGCATGAATTGATTACCAGCCAATAAAAGGTTTATGGAAAAGGATACAGGAATAATGTTATTACTATAATGATGAAGACATTCTTTTTTCCTATAACTTCAATTACAGCAAATAATATAATAATAATAATAATAATAATAATAATAATAATACTGTATAGTATAATAATAAAAATAATAATATAATGTACAATTATTTAAGATACAACTTAAGCAATTCATAATATTTTTTTTTTTAGCTCATCACAGCTGGATGGTGTATCTTTAGTGAACATTTAACTAAAGATACAAATACCCTATGAAGTAGGCATTGACAGCCAGCAAAAGCTTGTGTTAAATAAATTACTTCTTCAAAGTAAGTCTCAGAGTGCTGCCTCTTATTACATGTTATTAATGTCTTTTTAACAGTGAATGGATTGCCTCGTTATCTCAGTCGGCCACCCAGTGCTTTTTGCGTGCAGCTGAGCTCGGTTGTGCCCTCGGTGAATCCTGGATCGTCTGCAATGCAGCAGCCTATCTGTGGAACTACAACAATCATCTGCTGATGGATGGAAGACATAGAGAACTTATTGAACCGTTCAATAAGTTACTGAAAGCAATGAAGCAAGTAGGACATGCTAGGTAAGATAATTAAAAAGATGAATCGATGTATGCCATTTTATTGTTTTGAAACCTAAAACAATGGTACTCTGCAACCCAGGTTGTTTATATATAATGTATAGACAGTATGAAATAGGCCTCATCAAACACCAAACATATAGATTAAAATAAAATCATGATGTTCTGTAAACAAAGTCTTAATTTGCTCATTATATACTAATGAATCTGTTAGTCAGTCGTGGCACCAGTAGCCGAGGCTCTAATCGGCCTTTTGTTTCTGACCTGCCTTTCGAACATGGTAGACACCCCTGTTGGCAAAGTTCTGGAGCCACCACTGCCATTAGACTCAATAGTCAATAGACATTGTTCCATAAGACTTTTTGTCTGATGAAGTAGAGTATTGTCAAACTTCCTACATACATGAGCAAACATACTTTGCTTGACCAGATATATCTAAAGCCCTGTCCTGACTATCATATTTCATTTGCCAAAAAACATGTGACATGGCTATATATGGTCATGATGACATCACATCATGACCATATATAGGCACATTATGACTATATATGGGCATACTACAAATTTGCTAGTCAAAATCAATCATTGTTGGGTCTAACAGACAAAAAAATATGATAGTGGGTTAGACAGATAAATTGTGGCATTCTAGGGTTTGAACCCAGAAGATAGGAATAAAATTAGAGCACCAACAAGTTCCCACATTTGTATTTTAATGTCATTAAGAATAGTACATGATTATCAGCTTTTAGATCAAACTCTTCTTTGCAAGCAACCTCATGTCTTTAAGGCTTACTTTTGTACAGAGAAACATGCCTTCTTGTGAACCTATGCAATGCTCTTGCAATTGGCCTAATGAAGCAATGGATCCCGGTGCAGCCTAAAGACCGACCCATTGAAACACCGCAGAAGGCTGGTAAAGAGAAAGATGAGAAAACACCAAAGGCTAAAAGTGTGGCAAGCCATGCTAGTGCAAAGAGTAAGATTTTGCTGGTGGATGCTGAGGCTCAAGATGACCTCAAGAAGGCCCTTGAGGTAGTAAATAGCTCCTTTTACTTTTATTATTTTATATCATTCTCATTCAACAATGGGAGAGTTGTGAGCTATAGGATGAAATACACTATGGACCAGTTGTTAAAATTTGGATTGGTGTTTCTCTTGTTAAGGTGTGTGACTATGCACTAGAGGTGACCAATGGTAACAAGCCCTTGGACGTTGTTCCCATCAGTGTGCGACATCATCTTATTAACACATGGGTGCAAACAAAACAGCTTTTGCTTCAACAAATCAACAAAGGACTTGGAACAGAAGATGAGGTTGGTAAACATTTATCATCACAAGGGGAGCATTTATTATTTAAGGTGGGGGTCAACATAACCTGAATATTGCAGAGGGAAGAACCAGAATTTTAATATTTGATGTGTCTTCTCTTCATTTTGCTCTTGGAGTCTCAAAAACCTACATAATTTAAGTTGATTTGACTTGTATTAAGCTAAGGTGAGGTGTGTGATACACTTAATGCACCAATGAATCTTTATACACCACCACTATTACACATACCCCACATAAACACCAAAAACGCCGATCTGCACACGCACACCCACAGATCCACGCATGAATTTACAGACCCACATCTTTCACACACCGAAACACATCACAAACCACACCTGCATCCACAGACCGACCACTCATACATGCATCTCAATATTTTCTTTAGATCCACGCATGAATTTAAAGACCCACATCTTTCACACACCGAAACACATCACAAACCGCACCTGCATCCACAGACCGACCACTCATACATGCATCTCAATATTTTCTTTAGATCCACGCATGCATTTACAGACCCACATCTTTCACACACCGAAACACATCACAAACCACACCTGCATCCACAGACCGACCACTCATACATGCATCTCAATATTTTCTTTAGATCCACGCATGCATTTACAGACCCACATCTTTCACACACCGAAACACATCACAAACCGCACCTGCATCCACAGACCGACCACTCATACATGCATCTCAATATTTTCTTTAGATCCACGCATGAATTTACAGACCCACGCGTATTGGTTGTCAAGCAATTTTGTATTCTTTACCACACAAAAAGTCCTTAACAACAACAGTGCATATTTTGATGCGCTTTTTTGATTTCACGAACTAACAGAATTGAATTTAATTGTGTTAGTTCGTGATGTGAGCGACGATACATACCTGCACCTGCTTCCAGACAAACAGATCACTCATACATGCAGCATCCTAAAGAAGTAGCGAACGACTAGGGATACTCCCCAGGGAGTAGAGGAAGTTGCACTTTGTGCCTGTTTGCCATTGTATGTTATCCAGTGACCAGGGGTAATAACGCTCGCGCCTTTGATCATTCTTGGAATTGGCGCCTTATAAATGTTTGAGTATTATTATTATTATTTCTCTGTAAAGCATACTGTGCACATATTATTATAAGAATGTTGATTCACAATAGGGCAATAGCAATGGACAGCGACCGATGACAAGATGCCTTGTTGCTCTGGAAATGCATTCTTTGAGCAGTAATGGCATTCTGGAATTCAAGGAACAACCCTCACTTACTGAGGTAAGTAATAGGAATTGTTATAGAACACCCCTCAATATAATAGAACTTGTTCATTCCAGGGCACTGTTTTCAGGGCTCAGGTTATTGTGGGCATTGGTACGATGGATTGTTCTATTATTTATGTAGGGGTGTTGTAGTTAAGTACCACAGGTAATTATCAGTTCATACAGGTAAATATGTAAAACCACTAATAATAAGCTTCAATATATATTTTTGTTGTAATTAGAATTTTTTTTGTTTCTATAAAAGTGATATGATTTTTATCTGTCTCTTTGAAATTTCTAAATAGCTTGCTAATCTGGTAGAACAGTGTAAATGGTCTGAGCCATTGGTTGAGTTACAAGTTTGGGTCCGTCTCTCAGAAATGGCGTACAAGACCTGCAATCATCAACTCGTCTTAAAATCTACCAGCATGGCGCTTAGATTTGATGATAATATGTATGCTAGCAAAGTCAAGAAGTTAGATAAGTATGTACTCAAATTTGATTTGATTTGATTTATTTAATGTGCTCTTTAAAAATACAACAGAAACAAAAACACATGAACAGGTCAAATCACAAAAGAGCGTATCGGGGATAACGCTAAAATTGCAAAAAAGACAATTATTTCCATAGGGGTCCCCTACATGAAATTATGTGAAATGAAAAAATATAAAAATTGAGTTTATGATTATAATTATCAATTAATCATTTTTTTTTTGCGCGAAATCAAATTCACAAATTATAACAACAAAGCGCAATCAAAAAACTACAAATACCATTACCGAAGCTATTATTACATTTTAGAATTATCTCATATTTTATGATTATAATTTATTATTAAAATGTTAAACAAGGTCAAATGTGAATAGGATAAGTTACGTTGTGTTGTGTTTTTTTTCACAACAGAAACTTTTATAAACACAATGCATAGATCTTTAATTTAATTTCACTATTATGATCATCATTTTGAATTACTGTATTGTTTTTATTGATTTGTTTTGTAATTTCTCTTTTATAGTTTTCATTATTTAATTATTTTATTTGTTTACTAAGTAAAACCTTTTTTCAAGCTTTTGCTTCCTTAGTTTCCAGTACTCGTGTTGTATTTTTACATGAATTATTATTACATGTGAATAAATGAATTTGAATTTGAATTCAGCGCATAGATAAAATTTACTGTAATGTGCGCTGTTAGAATTGTTTCGCATTTACTTTACAGGCACAAGTACACAGTTTGGCAAGAAATGCTGAGCTTTGCGAGCTGCGTTCTTGGCAAGAGTCTCATCAACAATATGCACGGGAAGAATGTCATACGAAGGTCTGCCCTGGAAGCATTTCTTAATGCTACTAGGTGAGTAACTTATCGCAATGTTGTCATCTATGATATTGCATTGAATCTGGTGGATCACAATGCAGTATCAGTGATAATGCATTTGGAAAATTTGGAGCTTGTAGTAATATATATTATCATCACCTCACCATCATTGTCAAAATATTATTATCATAATCATCATGTACACCATCATTGTGTACATCATTGTCATTATCCTCATCTCCATGATGTCCATCCTCATCATCATCATTATCATCCTCATCATCATCATCATCATCATTACCATCATCATTATCATCATCATTATCATCATTATCATCATCGTCATCATTATCATCATCATCATCATCATCATGATTATCATCATCATCATCATTACCATCATCATTATCATCATCATTATCATCATCATCATCATCATTATCATCATCATCATCATCATCATCATCATCATGATTATCATCATCATCATCAATATCATCATCATTATCATCATCATCATTATCATCATCATCATCATCATCATCATCATCATCATTATCATCATCATCATTATCATCATTATCATCATCATCATCATCATTATTCTAATTCTTCCTAGTGTCAACATAATGACCCTCCTAATGACCATTCATTTAGGTATGGACGACGTGCAGATAACTACATGCAGGTAATAAGTTCAGCAAGATATTACTGGAACACTTGCTTACCATTGGTTTGTGAAGTTATTGAAAGGCAGCTTTTGATGGAGCCACTGAACATAATATTAGACTGCATCACTGCCACCTACTGCAATCAAGCTGGAAAAGGGGTAAGTTTATAACACAGTTTTTTGTTCATGATTAGAGCGACGAATGCACCATTGAGTCTTCTGTATTCTGTCATGCAGTTCCTTTGCAGATAAGCGTTATGAATGATGACATACGGTGGGGGGTTGTTCGTGGATACAGTATTTGTATTTTCAGTTCTATGCTTGTTTAGAATGTAACATCCAGTATTCTCATGATGTGATTAGCTGTGTGAAGCAATTCATAGCCACGCTGTCTGATTTTGTCCGTCTATAATGTTTGGTCAGATTTTGATGAAATAAAGTAGAATGGAGCTTTTGATTGCATGACAACGGTAGGACGTAAAATGTAATGATGTCACTAAGAAGTCATCTGCGCATGCAAGAACATTAAATTTGTGTTGTTGAGTAGATTCTAGGCCACAATTTGCTCTTGGAAATCATCGTAGTGCAGAGGACGGTAGTTGGGTCAAGTATAAGTGAATCAGCGTCAAATTCTTGTGCAAATCGAAATCTCCATATTGTCAGACTTCCGACAGGCAAAGCAATGACTTGTTTCATCACATATGTCTGAAACAACCATACACCATCAACTAATGTCTGAAATAACCATACACTATCAACTACCCCTCTAGAAATATGTCTCTTAGCAGCGGTTCAGAGGACCATTCACGAATATTTTCTAATAGTCATTCTTGTAATTTTGCTTGTTCTTCATGTCTTTTTTATTTACTTGTTTGATTTATTAAATCAAAATCAAATCAAATCTGTTGAACAGACAGCAGTTGTTTTAAATTAATGTGTGGATCATAGAAAAATGACACCTGTATACTGTACTCATAATTATGTTACTTCTGAAGCACATAGATCAGTTGTACCAGTACTATAGAGATATCATAGATAGTGAATTTGGCACTCTCTGGTACAAAAATATACCAGGAATATCAAGTCAGGTGTTGAATTCACTATGAATTTAGAATCGGTGTTCAATTTCAAGAAGGCTAAAATCTCTGACATCAGAAAACATTTTTATGTTGCTTCTATTGTGTTCTACATTAATGGCAACTCATCTGTTGCTATTCTTTTGAAAAAAACTATAATTGTGTACAGCTTAATTTTTGATTGAGGAAATATTTGATTATTAGCAATAAAAATAAGAATACACATCAAAAATTACACATAAAATCCAAACACTTTTAAAAAAATATATATTTGTATGTAAAATATTATTATAGCAATGTGCGTTTCTAATTCGTGCAATTCTACCAAAAAGTGTGCATCAAGGAATGTGCATCAAGGAATGTACACAAAGCGGTTTATAAAAAACCTAGTCGTTACAAAAGGAATCACATGTGCAGTTTTCACATAATCATGCTCTGATACACTGTGTGTTCACCTATATACTATACACATCCCTTAAAATCATAACAAGGAACCTAATTTTTGAGGATACAAAGTTAAGTACCTTCTCATTCAAACAATGTGATTAGTATAGGATTTGAACTTATATCCCTGAGATTGTAAGACCAAATACTATTGCTACAGTATAATATGCATAGTAAGTACAGTCTGACCATTTTGTGTAAGACTATCATACTTTTAAACTTGTTGCTTGCTAAACAATTAAAATGTGGTAACACACTGAGGGAATTTATTCGCTCTAACCAAAAGCGTCGGTTCATGCACATTAACATTTTTATTAGAGTTTTTTGCTTCAGCGAAGTCAGTAGTTTGAATTGTTTATACTTTTCACGAAGCAAAAAATGCGTAACTAATCAGGAAACGAACTGACACTTTTGATTTGTATGAATATATTTGCCTAGTGTAAAACAGAACATGCTTTAAAGTTGTTACTTACTAAACAATTAAAATGCATTAACGCATGAATGCATAATGAAATAAACAAATGAACATACAAATAATAGAATGAATGAATGCATAAATAAATAAATGAAGGAATAAAGGAAGGAAGATCATTGAAGAAATTCATCTGTATCCAAAAAGGATGACTTGAAACAAACAATTGAAGTTGAACCTTCATCTTGAGTCATTAGGTTAACATTAATAGGAAGGGAAAATATAGAATTGAGATATATATTAAAGTTGTACCTTCATCTGAAGTCATTAGGTTTGTTTGTTTGTTTGTTTTTATTGGTTTCTCCACACACAACATAAATAGTACAATGTATTCAAACTTTAGGTTAACTTTAATAGTAAGGGGAAACATGGAATTGAGATATATATTAAAGTTGAACCTTCATCTGAAGTCATAAGGTTAACTTTAATAGTAAGGGGAAACATAGAATTGAGATATACATTATAGTTGTACCTTCATATGAAGTCATTAGATAAGGGAAAATATAGAATTGAGATATAATTAAAGTTGTACCGTCATCTGAAGTCATTAGGTTAACTTTAATTGGAAGGGAAAATAAAGTTTTACCTTCATCTAAAGTCGTTAGGTACTCTAATGGGAAGGATAAATATAGAATTGAGATAAACAATCAAAGTTGCACCTTCATCTAAATTCATTAGGTTAACTTTAATAGGAAGGAAAATAGTTCACCAATGAGAGAGTAGCATTGAAATTGAACCCAAAAATATTTCCCCCAATTTTGTTATGTATCCTTCTTCTTTTTTGGATTGCAGTTGGAGTCATTAGCATCATAGTTGAAACTTCTCTTCCGTGTCGATTTCATCTGTTGTAGCTCATTTGTCAGGCTTGTGTTCCCACCCAATAGCTGTCTATTCTGATAAAACAAGAGGTTTTGCCCATTGTAGAAATGTTCATTCTGTTCCATAAGCATTCTGTTCTTCTCCCAGAGGAGGCATGTTTTAATTCTGTTGTCAGTTTCTTGTTTGGCCCTGGTAGCCTCTGTAGCCCTATTCATTTTCATGATTTGGTCATTCTTTATTTTCAGATGAGCATTTTCCTTTTCAAATATTTTCAACATTCCTTGGAGTTGTCTGATTTTTTTGGCACAATCTCCTGTGCATGATCTAGGTGGATCACTAACATTCAAATCTGGTTCATCTTGAAACTCTGTTGAAGAAATTGTTTTTAAATTTGTTAGCGTGTATAATGAATTCTATAATTTATATATTTCTTTCATGGCTTTAACATTTTATTGGAGTGTATTTATAAATACTTTCATGACATGGGATGTTTAACAAAGGTAAATGGTGTTGGTGATAGCGATGACGATGAATTTGTTTACAATCAATTAAGGTTGTGGTGGTATGTTGGGACTTCCTTTATTTTGTTGTTTTTAGCTTGAGTATTTCAATGTGCAGCTCAAAGGAAACAAGATCATGGCTATTAAAAATGGTTGCAAACTCAAGTTTTCCTGTTAGTTTTAATTGAAATGTAACATTTTATTTTTCTTTTACCTTTCTTCACTGTAAATTCAAAACCTGTGTTGTTTCCCACCAGTTCTTCATTTAGTTTCTCTGGTTCATCATTTTCTGTTTAAAATTAAAACAACAGCATCATTGAACATCTGAATACCATTAATAATTACCTCAATATATTACTTTTTACTATTTATTTGGGAATGTATTCGGTACGATAACATATCATTTAAGGCAAAACATCACTCCTATGATATTTTCCTGACGCTGCTACTTGGTGATAGGATTCAACATAGTCACTAATCACAAGCTCTGTAATCTAGTGGTTATGGCGTCAGGCTAATTATCTGAAAGTCATGGGTTCGTTTCCCACCTGAATCACTTCGGGAACGTACTGAATATTTGGTATTATAACACATCAGATAGGGCAAAACACACTCCTATGATGTTTTCCTGGCACAAACTCACATCGGTATAACTCAATATACCAATGACCATATAATTTTAAAAAAAATATGAACTTCAGCACTACAGAAACAGAAAACTAATTACTATGATTTTGCTGCCATTATTATAATATGGGAGGTGATAAATTTTTATTTTTTTAAAATTTTTATATTAGTCAATGTAATTATGATTTTATTACCTTGGGATGATTCCTTGTCATTCAAGCAATCAAGCAGATGTGCCTTGCCTGACTCGCTCACAGCTTTTACGAAAAGCTGAAATGCCGTGCGTCCTTTCTGCTCCAATTTGTCTAGCATTGTTGCCATCGGTTTTCTGTTTGGATTAAACATCTCTCCATAGTCAGCGGGAACAAACACCTCATAGGAAATCAGTTGTGCCCAAATATCATCAACTTGTAAATCCTCCTCAAGTTTTGGACGATTTTTGCGTAATATTTTCTTATGTTTTTGATCCATTTTCTGAGGATAATAAGTGTTCTATTCAGAGAATATTATTTAATAAACAAATATAATGGTCAGTGTATTTTCAATAGAAATAGTACTACAATAAATTAAACATAGCAACTGACTTGTGGTTTGTTGATTGGCATTAAACTAGGTGGATAACTTCAAGGCTGGGTGGTCCTTCCCACTGCCATCATAACTATAATTATCCCTGTGATGGTCAGAGTGTAGGACATAAACCACCCAGGGCAATAACCACCCTGACAGAAACCACCGAAAATGGGCTATATCATTGTTAAAGTGGGGTGGCTATAAATTGCACAATTTAGTAAAAGTGTATTCTATTACTGTAATGTAATGGAGAGTTTAATTAGATTGTATTCACTATTATTAAAGTAAACTGGTTTTACTATTAAAACTGTACATGTCTCTTTATAACTGTCATTAATATAAGAAGAAATATTAATTCAATCAAAACAGATAAAAAGATAAAATAGTAAGATCTTATTAACCTACATTCATTAATGGTTTTGACTTTTGTTCATTCAAATTATTATTATCAAAAGAAACTTTTTATTTAAAAGTAATTTTTAAAGGAAGCAGCAACAAGCCCTTTTTAGAAATTTAAATTTAGAATACTAAATATTAGACAAATACCATACCAGAAAATAAGTATGTAATTGTACAGTCGACCTTCCCATTTACGAACTTCTCATTTACGAACCTTCTATTTTCCGAACGTTCGGCCGATGATGTCATCGCTAGATTTATTCGTCTAATTTCTGCTATTTTTATTTATTTTAAGAAAAACGAATTATAAAGGTCATTAAAAATGCATTATAGTACTATTTATACCGTACATTTCATAAATACATCATACTACTTTAGGCTTAGAAAAGTCAAACCAATACATGATGTAAAATATTCAAAACTAGCTGAAATTCAGACAGGCAGTGCATGCTGCTAGGCCTACCTTGTCTAGGCTAAGTGCAAAGGGGCAGCCTATACCAAGGGGCATACCCTACTCTGTCTTATGGTTACCTGCGGTCTAAATGCACTGTAAATCGAATCAGCTAGTTTGAGTATAAATTATGGTAGCATCAACCTTTTATCCTTTTAAGAATAAATCACTGTTCGGATATTCAATAACCATCTATGTTATTTGTTTTTCACTGTCAAAAACGATTAACAAGCTGCTCTATTTTTAGAAGATGACATCAGCAATTACCCATTATTCAATGCTACAGGCACCAAAACCACATGTTTGGAAGTCAGGAAGGTCGGAAAAAATAGGAACCGTTTCTTTTTTTATATTATACAAAAATACCTTGACTAAATTAAATAAATAATAAGCCTCTAATTAATATCAATGTTTGTTTACTAATTTGCTAAAAAGTACGGAGAGATGACAGCTAAAGTTAGCAGAGAGCTGCTGCTAGGCCCAGCTAAGCCTTGGCTAAACCACCACTGTATGTTGAACAGTCAGCCTATTAGTGACATGGAAGATTAGGTCAGTCTATCCATGAGACGATTTCCTTAGCCTATTATGAATCGTTATTTAATATATTAGTTTGTCTTGCATTAACATTTAATTGATTCTTCAACAATTTCTATAAACGTTTATTGAATACTTAAATGCAAAATTAAGACTAGATGTTGGTAGGCAGGCCTACAACTTGGCGTTTTTAAACTTGAGTGCGCTATTCTTACGAACTTCTCATTTACGAATTTTCTCAATTACGAACTGCTTTCAGCCCAAGGTGTACGTAAATGGGAAGGTCGACTGTAGTTTAAAAAAAATGGCGAACTTAAAGCACAGTTATTTTTTAAATCTACAAATACATTGCGTAACCTACATGCATGTTGTCAAAAGAGTTGAGTGAATTAAAGGCGTAATAGCAAGTCACAATGCCCAAACAAGCCAACCCAACATTATGCACTCCACAGTCCATCCCATTTTAATATGTTATAGTTCATTTTGGGTGGTTTATGTCTGGGTGGTTATTGTCTGATTTTGGATAGCCTGAGCATCAGCAATTATCATTGTAGACAGACAATATGCTAATATCATGAAGTTTTTTCAAGCGTGGCATTTGTGCATTTCATTTTGAAACTGTAGACTAGTGGTTGGAAAGTACATTCCAATTCTTCTGGGTTCTAATCCTGTGATCAGGACTTTTTCTCATTAATAATAATAAATCTATTCCCTAAACAAGTGCCTTACAGAGCATCATTCCATATAATACTGTAACTGGCAGTTCACTTGAAAAATTACATTTTCTTTTAACAGGAAATATTCATTTTATATACTGTAGGTGATGATTCATGGTTAGCATATGTTATAATAGATTGATGATTGTAAGCAGCAGACCAATAAAAGTCATTGTCTTCCTCATAACAGTACTGTACTTTCAGAAATGTTTTCAGAAAAATAAACTGCTTTTGAATTAGGCATGCAATAAGTAATTGCCTTTTTGGACAGCCCAAAAAGTAGAAGACATGTTGTCTTTTTTAATAAGGGTTGTCATTTATTTTTTTGTAAAAAAATGGATTCCTCGGATATAAGCCCATTGTGTAAAATTGGCCCAATTTTGTAATCAAGGGATGGGGTCTATAGTAATACAACAAAGGTGAACTACAGTAATAGGGGTAACTCAGCCCACGAATTTCACATCGGCAATTGGCAATTGCTGACCATGTTGTCGAGCCAGAATTACTACATGACGGCAATTTTTTGCCGACCTAGGCCTAGATTTCTTTGCTTCGAAATCTGCGTGGAAAGTCAAAAACTGAAACAGGCTATAGCAGACACTTAATTACAATCGTCTTGTCTTTCTCGCCTAGTCGTTTCTTAGGCTAGGCCTAGGTAGGAATGACGCTAGCCAGCCAAGGCCTACAACATCGCCCAATTGATCCTAATTCTTATCTAAATCTATTATTTTACTTCATTTTACAGTATTATTATCATATTTAAAATGTTGTTTATTATCTAAAAACAACAAAATTCAACATATTGTAGGCCTAATCCTACCGTCCATAAACGCAATCACGATCGTATCGTGACTTCACTATTGATAAGTACTGTACTGTACATGTGTGGAGAATCTGAGCATGCGCATAGACATGCATGGGCAGTTTTGAAGCAGCCTGTGATGATACGGTTGTAGCTTTTACTAAAGTGATATTTTCCATGCCAAAGATAGCAATAAACGAACGCTAAAAACGAAATTTTTTCGGCGATTTTCTTATGTAAAACATGTATTTTACTACACTATTAAATTGATACAAGTATTCTTTCACCATTAATATAGTGATTTAATAGAGAAATTATCAAAATCACAATCTGTAGATGACGATGTAAGGTCGAGCGTTCGGATCGTAGTTTATACTATATAGGACTAGGTAGTAAAAAATTGCCGAGGCTGCCGAACTCGGAGAATTTAAGGTCGACAAATTTCATGGGATGGGTAACTTGTGCAAGGATTGAAAGCTAAGATAAAATTAAAATGCTTTTCATGTCAATTTTTTTAAATACAGAAACAAACATTCAAGAATATCATACTCTAATACTATTTGAGTTTTGATATCACAACGGCAATTGCTTATTGTGGTATCTATACAAAAGTTACACAAGATAATAAACAGCAAAATGATCACGATATTACCGATAAAAGACAAAAATAATGATGATTGATTAGTTCTTGCTTTGTTGTTCTTAACAGAATCCATTGATTTCATACTTTTTCAACCTACATGTAAATCAAAATAACACTATGGTAGTCTTCAACAGAGCAAGCATAGAACAAAAGTATGTAGCTGGCTCTCGTGATTTCCCTGACAGGTGCGGGTGGAGCTCGAAATGCTTGCTGTTTGATAATACGTCATGAACCAGACTGCATAAAAACTTAAGCCAGCTACACATTTGCAATAAAATTTTTGTTCTGGTTAGGTTGGGAAAATGTGAAAATATGGAATCAAATCAAGAATATTAAGCACGAATCATAATTATATACCTCTGTATAATACATTAAAAATAGCATAAATATTAATTTAGACTAGATTGATTTTATAAAGATGCGATCGGTAATATTTACCTGGTGAGTAATTGTCCTTGTTACTGTTACTTCTCTCTCTACCAAATAAATAATAACAATGGGTGCAGAACAGAGGTTTAAATAATGTGTATTGGAAATCCCCTTTTATTTAAGTAAATAAAAGGGGATTTCCAATACACATTATACAAATTCAGTATGTAGAATTTGTTGGAGACGCATGCCTAAAGCCCTCTTGGCTTATGGCATCACACAATAGAAATTGTACCGCAAAATTGTCTTTTCGTTTTCTATCAATTTGTTGCTACATATATATTATTAATTTTACCATTTTGATTAGTTTATCTTAAAGAATGTATTAAAATATCAGTGTGTGGAACAATGAATTTAAAACTCGAATGCTTAATATTTTACTTCAGAATGGAAGACTGTTGCCTTTTCTATGCTTTTAATTTCTTATTATACTAGTTTTTCTAAACCACCATACTGATTTCTTGTGCTTTTTATCAACTATTCTAATTCAAATTTTATGTTACTTTAGTTTTCTTAACATATGCAACCTCTTTTAGCTAGAATAGCTTCTAAAGCCTAGTTTGGAATTTGTCATACCATGATACCTGGTTGTTTCCTGCTTGGGATCCGTAAATCATCTCGTTGTAGGCCTAAGTAGCTACATTCATTTTGTTACCAGAATTGACAAGCATTTTAAACACCATATAGTTCAATAAATACAGATTCACTGAAGTAAATAAACATTGATAGAGTAACCATTACAAGCCACTTTTGTAAATAGTATACCCAATTTTTGAAGGCTACTTACCTGGTGAGTAATCGTCTTTGTAATAATTTAGGGCCTAGTTCTCTAGTATGCAAATTATACAATGGGCAAATGACTATGCCGAACTATTAACTATTATTGACCTTACAGTATCTCTATGAAGTGCTTGTTAACAATTGATTTTATGAGAGATTATATGAAAAAAAGCACTAGAAATTATACAAATAGGTGAATATATAAATGCAACATTTTTAACAGTTTGAACTGAATCTAATATTGATTAATTTTGTATGTAAACTTATTGGTACAATACAGGAAAATTAATATTGGAAATCCCCAGAGCTTTTATTTGGTCTATAAATAAATGCATAAGTATAATACTTTTAAAGCTTATTTTGCTACATTTGAAAAAAAGATCATCCTTGGCGCCATATTTCATTTATTTAATTTCATTTATTTCGTCCAATTTTAATCTCACGGCGGTTGTAAGATTGTCGGCCGACGAATCCAACCCCACTTCCTGTGAGCGCTAGCATGAGCAAGTGGCAGTCTGTATAGATGGCATTAAAGACGATCAGTTGCATTTGTATCGTGGCATTGCATCCTTCGCAGAATGATGTCAGCAGACGATTGTTGAGCGCAGTGAGTGTCCTGCTTCAGGGTTTGTTCTCACAGGTGTAATTCACAGGTGTAACTCACAGGTGTAATTCACAGGTATAACTCACAGGTGTAACTCACAGGTGTAATTCACAGGTATAACTCACAGGTGTAACTCACAGGTGTAATTCACAGGTGTAACTTACAGGTGTAATTCACAGGTATAACTCGCAGGTGTAACTCACAGGTGTAATTCACAGGTGTAACTCACAGATGTAATTCACAGGTGTAACTCACAGGTGTAATTCACAGGTGTAATTCACAGGTATAACTCACAGGTGTAATTCACAGGTGTAACTCCACACTTTTAAAAGACACTTTGTGATTTAGTATAAAAGGTTTTATCCACAAAGCCCTGATGAGTCAAAACGCTCTTGCCTAAACTCTCTTCCTAAAGTTAATCTTCCCAAAGGAAAATTAGCTTTTTAATTATCACCATGCAGTACAGTTCTCAAAACAAATCGAATAGTAAGCATTCTCAATTTTGTATCTATGATATTAGGGAAAAAAAAAATACAAGAACCAACTGCAAAGTGATTGATTTGCCTATCATTTGTAGGCCTATAAGTGTGTATGAAGTATTGACATTTTGAACTGCACTAGGTTACGTTGTGAGACATTAATGTGGATTAACTTTTAAGGTAAAGGTGGAGAATAACCCATAAATTGCAGCGTCATTGTACTGAATTGCGTATGGGCATGGTCCGTGACTACCTAGCAGCCAAAGACTTGGTTCTACCAACCGAACCATGGGCGAGGAGCGGCTAGCTCGTCATAAAGGTGTCTTACTGCTAGAGCATGGGTTACTAATAGAGTACTTGGCTTCTATTAAAAGTTTTGCACAAAAAGCAATTCCTCCTGTGCATGTTTAAAATTATAAGTTCATTGTGATTTTTTTTACGTTGTTTTAAAAAAGATTTAAGAGGAGGGAGGCAAAAAATGTGATTCTTTTTTTTCTCATTTAGTAAAAGAGTTGTGCTTAAACCAAACATAAAATAAAAATAAAATTTTTTTGACAAATAGGTAAAAAAAAGTCAATTGAGGGTGTTCTTAGGCTCTTGCCCAAGGTCACGTTGTCTGTTTATATTAAATATGCTGTTGGAACGTAATCTGTCAAGTATTTGAAATAATTCTTTGTATTCGGTGGCCATGCAACATTGTAGACTTTCAAGTCAGTGAAAGTTAGTATGTACTTTACTGACACATTTGCTTCTTAGCACTTTTAATATTTCCTGTTAGGAAGTACCGGTAGTTTTATAAAGCTACATTAATATATTTTAAACTAGTCTTCAACAAAGCTCTTTATTTATTTATTTTATAATAAATTTGAAAACTAATAATAATAATAATTTAACAAATATTTTGATGCGTCATTAAATGTTTGAAGATACAGTTGGAGCAACCTGGTATTTTTTAGAAAGATCAAGCGATATAGGCCTACATTAATTTTAAATTTCAATATCATTTCACCTTTAACCTACTGTAGACACTCGTTTCCATTTTGTTAAAATCTTACCTTTATTGTTGATGCCTCAACGCATTTGGTCTTCTTGTATCACTGCTGTCATAATAAATCTTGTCTAATGTCAATGCAGTAATAACGTGTTGGTCTGATCTTCATAGCATCATTGTACTATAGTTCGTCTGGTATAAGCTACCCTTTGAACACAAAATTGGGCCGATTTTTTTAGGGTGGGCTAAAAGTCAGCTTTGTTACTCATTCAAATCATACATTGACAAAAAGCTCACATTTTAGTAAACATAAATTAAAGAAAAAAATATTTTTAAAAACGACTCTAGAGTTCCAAGACCCATAGAGTTCTTTGCAGGGGTCGCAAATCACAGGAGTCTCTCAGAAATTGGAAAGGGCCTCCCATACTGCCACGGGCAAGCAAGAATTTAATTTTATTATTGTATTATGAATTGTCTTCCAGAAGTTAGTGCCAATGGTGTATCACCATCCACAGCAAAATATAATTAAATCTCCTGGGATTTTGAGCTGAGAGGTTGCATTCACTATGAATCGGGATCAAATTGAAGGAGACTGAAATTTCTATTCTGTCCTACAGTAATGGCATCTAATCTGTTGCTACAATTGAGTAAAGCTTTGATTTATAGAGATTTAGGAACCAATATCTGATTATTAGCAATGAAAAGCAAAATTTTACTTAAAAAGTTTATATACAGTGTAAACATTAATCCCCATATTAAAGCTGTCTTGTTTTCATTTTTTTTAAATTTGATGTATATGGCTAACTGGCTTTCCCAGGTTGTTTACAAAACTTTCATAAATAAAGAAAAAAAAAAATTATATTTTAAATATTTTTATTCAAGTGCGAAATATCATTTTAGTGTTTGTAGATTACAACAAAGATACAAACTCACACCATGTTGCCTTCAATGAACTATGTTTATTTATCACTCAGCCTGTTCTATTTCTATGGCACATTACGAAGTAGCTAGTACAAAACTAAAAATTGAAGTACAATGAGAATTTCTAATCAGGGAGTTCTTGCAAGCTTATTAAAAAAAAAGATAACGAATACGGTTACGTCATCAATTTCTTAGATGACCCTCCCCCTACAGTAACATCTAGGCGATTCATGTCTTTTGCATGAATGAGGGATCATATTCAAGTCAGACAACATATTGTCAAGAACGTTTTAATCATGAATGATGATAATGATAATGATTTATTCATATTCGTTATTGTTTTTATAAGGTTGCGAAGTCTTCCTATTAATGCAGTTTTACCAGAAAAGAAGGAATGTATACAGTACATAAGGAATGTACACAAATTGGTTTATAACCTAATCATTACAAAATTAAACACATGTACAATCTTCATGTAATAATTCTCTGACATACTGTGGATTCAATGGTCATGCATTTTTATGGTGCCTTCCGCAATAAAAACAGTCTCAAGGCTCCACTAAAAACTACAAACAAAATTTTTAACCTCAGATTTTGAGATGGCGTCCCCATCGCTACTGTGTACAAGCAGGTATCTCGGCATCAATATCCGAAGCTCTGGGAGCTTCCACCGAGGATAAGCCTGCAGCTCTATGTAAACTATGCATTGCTAAGTTTGCGACGCCATCTTGTCGGGAAAAAATTAACAACTAAAATTATATATAAATAGGAATTAACCAAGTTAAACAAGAGATGGGTCAATTTCTTCTCAAATGCTAAAAATGAGGATGCCTCACAAAGACCTGCATTTAAGGAATTTTACAAATTTGGAGCAGCAACAAAAAGGCCATGTTGCCTTAGGTCTTTAAATGTGATGACAGAACTGAAAGTATTCAGAAGTGTATGCATCCTTTAAATCCTAACATGGTACCCAGCTTGTTCATTGAGGTAAACAAACATCTGTATAAATATACCTTCACATTCAAACAATGTGATTAAATAGAATTTGAACTTATACCCCTGAGAGTGTAAGACCAAATACTATTGCTATAGTAAGATATGCATAATAAGTACAGTCTGACCACTTTGGTATAAGATTATCATTGTACTTTTAAACTTGTTTAACTTGTTAAACAATCAGAATGCAATAACACAATACTACATGAATGAATGAAAAAAGAAAGGAAGGAAGGCTTTGTTTTCATAAATCAAATGTGAGATATGATGATTTTTTGCCTGCTGCAAAGGCATGTAATTAGAAAGACATTGAATTAGCTTACAAAAATAACAAAATCTAGCTGAAACATAAGTAACGTATAAACAACATGTATAGAAAACTTCTATCATATGATTTAAATGTATATATTACATTAATTACATTTATGTTTGTATTTTTTTATTTATTATATAGCAGTTAGTGTAGTTGAATATTATACACTAGAGGAAATTATAATATGAAGGTTAGACTGTTGCATGAAAGAAATTCCAGATTTTTGAAGGACTTTTTTTAATGCATTAATCTAACAAGTATACTAATTGCTTATTACTAATGATAAGTAAATAAAAAATGTTGTAATGTTAGAAATGTAAATAGCAGTCATAGGTTGCTATAGTGACTTGATCTGTTCATTTGTGCACGTATATACATTACATGGCTGTGTGTAAGCCTAGGCCAATGCGAATTGTTGCTGCAGTGAATACATGTTTAATTGTGTTTGTTTTGTCATTAATTTCCTATTGATTAACGTTCTGATAAACATTAATCAAAAGAAACAATAATCTCATCTAAGCTATTTAACTCCACTACTATTTTAAAGAAAGAAAAGGCTCATAAAGTGCCTTATTCAAAGGGAAATAAAACAATCCTGTCGTCACAGGAATTTAACCCAGCACTCTGGGATCTGAAGGCAGTTATCTTAACCACCAAACTATTCAACTCCACTACTAAGAGAGAGAGAGAGAGAGAGAAAGGCTTTTAAAGTGCCTTTAGTCAAAGAGAATTTAAAAAAATCCTGACATCACAGGAATTGAACCTAGCACTCTCAGATTGGAAGGCAGTTATCTTAACCACCAAACTATTTAACTCCACTACTACTGTGATGAGAAATGCTGATAAAGTGCCTTTTTCAAAGAGAATTGGGCTTGGAAGGCATTATCTTAACGACCAAGCTATTCAACTCCACTACTAAGAGAGAAAAAGGCTGTTAAAGTGCCTTTAATCAAAAGAGAATTTAAAAAAATCCTGATGTCACAGGAATTGAACCTAGCACTCTCAGATTGGAAGGCAGTTATTTTAACCACCAAACTATTTAACTCCACTACTAAGAGAGAAAAAGAATGATAAAGTGCTTTAGTCAAAGAGAATTTTTAAAAAAAGTTGTGATGTCACAGGAATTGAACCTAGCACTCTGGGATTGGAAGGCAGGAATCTTTACCACCAAACTATTTAACTCCACTACTACTGTGATGAGAAACGTTGATAAAGTGCCTTTTTCAAAGAGAATTGGGCTTGGAAGGCATTATCTTAACCACCAAGCTATTCAACTCCACTACTAAGAGAGAGAAAGGCTGTTAAAGTGCCTTTAAT